GCTTCCTGATTTCAAAACTTACTACAAAACTATAGTAATCAACACAATGTGGTACTGGCATAAGGACAGACATATAGATCAATGGAACATAATGGAAAATTCAGAAATAAATCCTTACATTATGATAAATTGACTTTTGAAAAGGGTGCTAAGACAATAAAATGGGGCAAAGAAGAGTCTTTTCAACAAGCAGTCCTGGGACAATTGGATATACACTTGCAAAAGAACGAAGTTGGACTCTTACATCACACCATGTAAAAAAAATACCTCAGGAAGGATCAAATACCTAAATGTATTAGATAAATTAGAAAACTTTTAGGAGAAAAATACAGGAGTAAATATTCATGATCTTAGATGAGGTAATGATTTCTTGTATATAACACTAAAAGTTTTAAGTGACACAAAAAAGTAGGTAAATTGGGCTTCATCAAAATTAAAAACTTGTGTTCTATAAATGATATAACCAAGAAACTTAACAGACAACCTACAATGCAAGAAAATCTTTGAAAATCACATAGGTGATAAGGGACTTATAACTAGAATGAATATATATATATAAAGAACTCTGACAAGTAGGTTAAAAAAAGTTAAATAAACCAATTTAAAAATGAACAAGGGACCTGAATAGACATTTCTCCAAAGAAGATATACAAATGGTCAGTAGCACTGAAAAGATGTTCAACATCATGAGCAGTCAAGAAACTGCAAACCAAAACCACCATGAGCTATCACTTTACACTCTGTAGGACGGCTATAATAAAAATGACAAGTTGGCAAGGATGCAGACAAGTCAGAATTCTCATTCACTGCTCGTGGGAGTGCAAAATGGTGCAATGGCTTTGGAAAGCATTCCCTAAAAATGTTACCACAAGAGTTATCATGACCCAGCAATTCCACTCCTCAGTATACACACAAGCAAAATGAAAACATATCCATGCAAAAACCTGTATACAAACAACCATAGCAGAATTATCCACAACAGGCAGAAAGTAGAAACAACCTAAATCAATGTCCATCAACCGATGAATGGATGAATAAAAGATGGTATACTTACAAAATGAAACATCATTTGGCACTAAAAAGAAATGAAATCTTGATACATACTACCACATGGACGAAAGAAATAGATCACATGTTACAGGACTCCAATTATGTAAACTGTCCAGAACAGGGAAATCGATAGATTCAGAAAGCAGATTAGTGGTTTCCCAGGACTAGAGGGTAGAGCAAACATAGGAAGTGACTGCTGTTGGACATGGGGTTCCTTTGTGCGGTGATCAAAAATGTTCTAAAATTATATTGTGGTGATGGTTGCATGGCTCTGTGACTACACTGAAAGCAACTGAACTCTATATCGCAAATGGATAAACCATATGATGTGTGAATCACATTTCAATAAAGCCCTAGAAACATAATGAGTGAGTAACTACAACAATAAAGGGTTCTGAATGTCATGATCCAGGCAGTGTGATAGTGAGTAAATAATATGAGAACCCAATGTGGTTAAGACATGAAAGATCAGGACTTATATAACTAACCCTAGGGTTGAGCAGACAGTAGGGGCAAAGGACCTGAGATTGGGAAAAGAATGAAACATTGGAGGGAAAAAAGGTAATGCTGGCATGGTAGAAGTAGAATGCAGGAAGGAGAGGTGCAAGGTATGGTTAGGTAAGTGGGCAGAGGCCAGGTGATACAGGCCACATTCATGACTTTAGCCTTTTCCTGAATAGTAGATAGGAAGATGTTGAAGGGTTTTTAACAAGGGGAATGCAATGATTGGATGTGAATTTTAAAAAGTGTGCTTAGACTGTAGGAAATTAACTTGAGCGAAGGAAGTGGATATAGGAAAATCAGATAGGGGGCCAATGCAAAAGTCAGGGAGAGAGATGATGTCTGAGAAATCCAAATTGAAGTAATTTGGAGGGGAATGTGGGAGGTGAAGATGTGGAGACAATTAGCTCTTATATGAAGTTCGGTTGTAAAGGGAGGAGAGGGAGTTGTAGCTGGAAAGGAATAGGAGATGGAGGAAATTTAAAGAATAAGCATGGTTTGACGGGAGTTGGAAGACTCCAGATGAGAGATTTAGTACAGAGGAGAGAATTCATTCTATTGGGTCCTTATGAAGGGAGAAGGTAATGAGATCCAGAACATCCTCAGAGACATACGCCCTCTAGCACAACAGGAGGAAGGTGGGAGATGGTTATAGATGAAGGTGAGTTTGTAGATTTGGAAGCAGAACTTCTTTATCTTCCTGCCTCCAATTCTGCATAGCAACCCATCACCCAAGAGTGAGCAGATCTACTTTAAGAATATGATGTCAGAGGGCAGTGATTAATAAGGAAGATAGGGAGCACTCTTAGGGATGATGATGACAGGTGTTAATGAAAGAGACTGAAACACACATAACCATGCATCTTATACTATACTTCCTTCTTACACAATGTTCAGAACAGGAAGTATAGAAAAATTAGTTGAGAGGGAATTGGGACCCTATACAGGAGAGAGGATAATGAGAAACAGTCCAGTTATTTTAAAAGTTCAAGCTTTAGGTCCTGCATGCTAAATTAGCTTAAAGATACAATTGAAGAATCATTCCTGATATTAGAAAGCATGCAGATTGGAATAGGAAATCAGGCAGACTAGAAATGGGAAATATTCAAATGCCCTGTTTTTAAAAAGAAATGAAAGGAGAATTCAAGAAAATACAGGTGAATCTAATTAACTTTGATCTCCAAATGTTTGTTAACTTGTATTTATTAAGAAGCACCAAGAGTTCATCAGGAAATATTAATGCTAAAATATCATTTCTTTATGGAGAGAGTGTCTGTCTCTTGATTTCAAGGTACACAGTTGGGAGATTCAACAAATGCCCTACAAAAATTATAGGGTCCCCAAATATGCTGATTACAAGACTGGTGCATAGCAGAACTGTGTATTTCAAAGGGACATTGGCATATAGAAAAGGCCACCAATAGGTCTCAGATAAGAATCAAGGGGACTAAGTAAAAAGACAGGCCTTGGTGAGGCAGCAGAGCTATCTGCAAGTGTGTGAAGGTCTGGCACATGCAGTCTTTTTTCTACAGTGGTGCAGAGTAGAACTTGAAGCATGGGGGGAAAGTTCCAGGGAAATAGATTGTTGCCTCGAGTTTAAAAACAAAACAAAACAAAAACCACCTAACACCTGGAAATATCCAACAATGGGGAACACAAAATTTTGAGCACCCCAGTCCTGGAAGGTTCTGGCAGATTGTTGGGGCTGCTGTTAAAGTAGTCTGGGGTATGGACTATGTATCTCTAGAGTCTGTTCCCTGAAAATAATCATGTAGAAGAAATGTGACATGGGCATTAATTTTTCAGCACACTTATGCTAGAGGTATAGATGTTGATGATGCCTACAGATGTGTGAACAGCTGCACAGTGAGGCAATGGTAGATCTGAAGCTGGACCCAGTTCTCATCTCCCCAGGGTCTGATCATTTCTACTGCTCCACACATTAGCCTTTCCTGTGATGAGTGATTGCCTTCCTTTCCTCTTTGGAATTTCAAATTAAGAATTATAGAACGAAACTGAGCCACTATTTTACACCACATACAAAAACCAACTTAAAAAAAGGATTAAAGACTTGAATGTAAGGCCTGAAACCATAAAACTCCTAGAAGAAAACATTGGGGATAAGCTCCTTGACGTGGGTATTGGCAATGACTTTTTGGGTTTGACACCAAAAGCCAAAGCGACAAAAGCAAAAATAATCAAGTAAGACCAAGAGACATTTTTCCAAAGAAGACATACAAATGGCTAACAGGTGCATGAAAAGGTAGAACATTCTACTAATCAAGGAAGTATAAATCCAAACCACAGTGAGTTATCACCTCACACGGGTTAGAATGGCTATTTGAGAAAAGAGAAGATATAACATGTGTTCGCAAGGCTGTAGAGAAAAGGGAACCCTCGTGTACTCTTGATGGGGATGTAAATTGATGCAGCCACTGTTGAAAACAGTATGGAGGTCCCTCAAAAAATTAACAGTAGAACTATCATATGATCTGGCAACTACTTCTGGGTATTTATCTGAAGGAAGCAAAAACACTGACTTAAAAAGTTATGTGCAGCCCATGTTCACTGCAGCATTACTTACAACAGGCAAGACATGGAAACAACCAAGTGTCCATCAAACAGATGGATGGATGATGAAAATCTATTTTATATGCAAAGAAATATTATTCAGCCACAGAAAAGGACAACATGGAGGGACCTACCTTGAGGGTATTATGGTAAGTGAAATGAATCAGAGAAAGACAAATGCTGTATGACCTTACTTATATGTGGAATGTAAAAACAAAACTCATAGATAGAACAGATCGATGGTTCCTAGAAGTAGGAGGTGGAAGGGTGGGCAAAAGATGGTCTAAAGGTACAAACTGCCAATCATAAGATAATTAAGTCCTGGGGATGTGATGTTCAGAGCTGTGACTATAGTTAACAATACTGTATTGCATATGTACTTGGAAGTTGCTAAGAGTAAATCATAAAAGTTCTCGTCACAAGGAAAAAAATGTGTAACTGTGTGCAGTGATGGATGTTAACCAGACTTACTGTGGTGATCACTCCACAATAAATACATATATCAGATCATTATATTGTATACCTAAAACTAATACATTATTAAATGTCAATTATAGCTCAATAAAAATAAGTGAATAAATAAGAATTCTAAATCTCTCACTCATGACTTTCAGGCCACACTCTTTCATAAATGCCCACTGCTCATTCGATCCATGGCTTGGCTGAAGCCTACAGCATTGGCTTTGAAATTCAGGGGCCCTGAGAGGTTGAGCGTTGGTTTACACAGATAAGGACTCTATAATCTCTAGGGAGGCTGTTTCCAGGGCAAGAGTCTAGTGTGCAGTCTTGGAGGAGATGAGGAAATGTGCTCCTAGAAGGAAATGATTCTAGAGCTGCCATGTCTTACCTGGACTCTGGGGTCTGCTCTACTCCTTGCTTCAGTTGTACATGACCAGGTTCATCCACTGAGAAATAAGCATCTTCATTATGACATAGCTTCAAATTCGTTCACTTAATACAGAGCAGGATAAATGGTACCCTCTTCCCTCTCAGTCTAGTCTCAGAGATCTCAACATTTCCAGCTAATTCAACCCCAGAAGGAAGCCTCAAGCCCCCATTACAGCGTATCTTTTGCTACTTGAGTAGCTAGGCAGTGAGAGGGATAGCTGGGGTTGACCAGCTGGCTGGGCCAGGAGGCTCTTTCTAAAGCTCACTGGGAATAAGTTTAATGTACAGTGAGCTCAGCAGGTGTTCTTCAGTTCCCTCCTGGATTTATGACTCCCACATAATCCTCTGCTTTATTAAGCTATTGGAAAAAAATAAAATCTGTCTGCCAAGATCCTAAAGCAGCCTTGGCAGCCAGCAATATATAAAGGCAGTAATTGGAGGCAGGGGGGCCGGCAGCTTGGCTGGCCTTTGACAGACTGTCCAATATCCCCAGGGAGAAAAATGCTCCTTGGAATCAGGAGGAGAGGTGGCCTGAGACTGTGCCCTGTGTCTGGGACAGGAAGGAACCTCACCTCCATTTTTGTCAGGTAGAGTCCTATTCCATCCTTGGAGAGGTTCTGGAAAGTCTCTAAAGAGGAAGAGAGGAATCAGGAGAGGCCAAGGGAAATAAAAGCAAACACGGTGTTTCTGCGTACTCTCTCATTCTCTCCAGTGTGCCTGGCCTCCCTCCTTGTCTCTTCTCAGCCAAACCCCACACCTATGGGACAGCTTTCTCTGACTGCTCTGGTCCTCACTCACCACTCCCTCTCCTAGTGCCCTTGCACTCTGCACTTTTCTGTATATGGCTGAGGAGATATGTGGGTCTGTGTTATAAAGTATTCTATGGGCACAGTTTCAGGAAGCTCCCTTGTCCAACTGAGAAATCTCTGGAGGTTTATGCCTCGTCCTTCTTTTTTTTTTTATGCTTCCAGGGCTCTGTTCTCTCAGTCTTTATTGACTATTTGGCTCAGAGCTGTGGAGTTTACAGAGGTGCCTCTTGCCAGGAATGGGGTGAGGATTAGGATAAGGCAAGACCCCACTTCTATCCCAACACAACTCTCAAGATATATTATGGCTTGAGGTTTTACATAGGACTTCATTGAAAAAAAAAGGGGGGGGGGGTAGGCTGCTAAGAAGGATCCAAACATCTGACATACATAGTTGAATTTCTGGAGCCTCCTGCCCTCACCTATTCACTTGTGTGTGAATTCCTTCAGCAGAGACCCCAATCATCCATTGCAAGACTATGGAGTAGGTTTAAACCATAAACAACATGGAGAGGGAACTCAGTGAGTTAAAATAACCTGTTCCTGAAAGAGGCAGTAAGTAGGGTGATGAGGAAATGAGAGACCTGAGATAAGGGAATGTCCTGGACAGAAAGAGTGTAGAAGGGACCCAGGGGACCCAGCCAACTCCACCATTACATAGGCTAATGTTGGCTCTGCCTCTTGGAGCAAGACCCCAGCCCACCCTGCACCTGAGGTCTTGCCCAGGCCTTGGGGCAGAAGTGCATTCCTGATCCTCTCCTGTGTTTTTTGGTCATTGCAAAGGTCTCCAGGATGTCCCCCAGGTGACACTTACTTGCCATGGCTTCAAGTCGCAACAGGAAGCAGACCAGGCTAGGGAAGCTGACCCGGCCGCTGTTGTCACTGTACCGGAGGATCATGAGATCCAGTAGCTCATTGCTGATGGAGGTCCCTGCAAGGAAATCTGGGCCACGGGTGGGTTAGTGAGTGGGAGGAGGCTGGGTGCTAGCAGGTCTGGTCCTCTGATGTGCCAAGTCTGAGCAACCTTCCCGGAGTGGTTGGCCTTCCACCATTGTTCCCTATTCAGTTTGGCTCAGGGGCCCATTCAGTCCACTACTTGGTTCTCTAGCTGCCTCCTTCTTGTTGGCTGCTGGGCCCCAGTGACACTGTATTAGAGCTTGGCCAGATACCAACTTCAGATAGTCAAGACACTGACTGCTCTGGAGACATCAGTCTTCACAATCATTGGATAATTCCCATGTGAACTGGGAGCTTCCAGAACACCTGGAAGCTCCCAGCCCTGCCTTTGTCAGGCCTCTCTCTGCTGGTGATCTTAAAATGACCTTGTTTCTCAACCCCAGGACTGCCTGTGGGTCTTAGGTGTGAATGCTGCTAGTGTGAGCAAGTATGGTTCCTGGAAGTGGGAGATTTAGTCCTAAGTTGGTAGATCAGTAAAGAAGCTGGTCCTCAGAGAGGAGACCATGCTCAGAAGGTGGCTACAGGTGGGCAACACACAGGCACCTTGGTTTCTTCAGTCCTTCTTGTCTTGTACCTCTAGTTACGAGCTCCAGGAGGCACCAGCCCCAAAGCAGACAACAGCAAACTGGCAGATGGCCATGTCTACAAGCTCTGGAGGACAAGCAGACCCTTGCAAGCCAAACCATCCATCCAGGGGGTGAGCCTGGTGGTCCATGGGCCTCATGCACCGGAGACATCTGGTTTCTCCAGCAGCATTAATAAAATATGAATTTGAGTGCCTTTGGTTAGATAGGCCTGCACTCTCGAGCTTGTCACATTCAAAAATCACCCTCTTTTCTTACGGTTAACTCCATTACCCCTTTCAGTTATCTACTTGGTCCTTGGAGAATTTCTAGTTGGATTCCAACTCTTCTCTATCTGTCTCCCTTTTATTATTCTGGAGTCATTAGTGCGATCTCCTATATGATTTCATCTTTCTGTAACTATTCCAGGGTTCTCAACGTATGGTCCCCAGACAAAGGGCATCAGCCTCACTTGGAAACCTCTTAGAAATACAAATTCTTGAGCCCCACTCAAGCCCTCTTGAATTGGAGATTTGGGGTGAGGGATGAAGCTCATCAATCTGTGCTTTAGCAAGCTTCCAGATGGTTCCAGTGCACACTTGAGTTTGAGAACCACTGCTCTCTGCTATGAAGAATTAAGGGGAGAACAGATGCTAAGGTAGGAAGATGCTTTTCCCTGCCCTCCCCTCTGGGAGCCATAGGAGGAGGAACCATGGAGCCTCTCCTCCCATCATTTACCTAAGGGAATCTGATCCTACATTTTCTCCAGGAAGATGTGTTTCCTGACTTAACCTTCTGGTGATCCATTTCCTCCACTGGCACAGGACAGACAATGACTCTTGCTCACAGAGTAACTCAGACAATTAAACAAGATGACATAAGTACGAGTTCTCCCTGAACCCTGAAGCTCTTAGACACCCTATAGTCTCCTTATCATCATCCCGGGACAGAATGCTCTTGCCTTCTTGAAGTACACACATGTCATTTGATTGCACTTGGCTCCAAACTCCCTGTGAGGAGAGCACATCCACCTGCTCATGGGTGTTTAACCCTGACAGCCCACACGTTGGGATGGAAGTGTCTCTAAAGCAAGCTTGAGTTCTGGTGGGATATCAGTGACGTGGGGTGATTTTCACACAGAGCCGTTTGGAGACAAAAGGTAATTGGGAAAACTGACTGGCACAGGAGATCTCAGGTTGGGGAGGATGGTGTCTGAGTTCTGAGCCTAGAAGCCCACAGAAGCTGGTGGAAATCAAGGGAGAACCCAAGGCTGACATCCGCTCTCTCCTGACCACTCAGCTCTCCTGCACCAGCCTTGCCTACAGCACGTGAGTGGTGGGCACTGCTCTCTCTCTTTCTCTCTCTCTCGCACAAACACACCCCACCATTACCGCTGCCCCGATCATGACGGCACTGAGAGGCCCCTGCTTTACCTGTATCCGTCATAGCCTTCCACAAATCCAAACCCAGAAAAACTCCAGAGCGCTTCTGGATGATCTGGAAAACACTCTGATTTGGGAAAGGAAGCAAGAGGTCCATATGAGTGCCCTCGGTCACCTTAAAGAGGATGTCCCGGGTAGAGAGGGGTCCTAGAAATCCCTTTTTTCATCCCTGGAGACTGTTTCAATACACCAGGAGTGGCTCCAGCTCAGAGCCAGCTCAGCTCAGCACCCCGGGAGGCAGGAGTGGGCTCCACCTGGTGAAGCCAACCACCCTGGCAGCCCGCCGTGGGGCTGGGGGTTCCTCTCTCCCAACCTCCTTTCTTTCCTTCCCTACCTCCTAGATTGGGCTCCTGACACGCAGCAGCTTGCTGCATTCAGGAGGTGTAGAGCGCTCAAGACTTTGCTTCAGGTGGTGGTTAAAAGCACAGATTTTGCAACCAAACCACTGGGTTTAAATGACTTAGTCTCAAGTGACTTAATCTTTCCAGGCCTCAGTTTCCCTACCTGCAGCACAGCACCAAGTACAGTACCTGCCTTACAGGACTGCTGCTAGGGGCAAGGAGCACATCGTTACAAAGAGCTTAGGAACATGCCTTGCACGGTAGTGGGTGCTTGTATAGCAGGCAGGTGGGTGCTGTGTCCTGGGTCCTGGCCCAGCCCCAGGAGATGGTGGCTCTCTGTGCACCCTGGACTTTTCTATCTCTCCCTGGTTTTCATCGGAATCCTGATCAACACCACACTTCCTGGGTGACAAATAGGAGCTCAGACAGGTGACTTGCTGGGAGGAAGCATGCAGTTGCCACATGACCAGACTCAGGCTTCCCATCTAGGCCTCTGCTCAGCCGCCCCGCAGGAGTTGTTCCAAGGCAACCTACCCCCAGCAGGTGTGTGACCCAGGCCAATAGGGCAACAGTTACTATGAAATAGCAGCTCAAGAACGAGTTTGGGCTGGCCTTATTTGGTTTTGGTGAGTCTAAAGAAAGCTCTCAACTGGGATTCACTCGTTTGGTAAATAATTAGTTTGGTCATTTGTTCAGCATTTTTGAGTGCCTGCTGTATACTAGACACTAAGAAAGATGCTGGGGGAAGCAGATGAATGTGAGGAAGCCCCTGCCCTGCAGTCTAATGGTGGGTGGGAGACATACCAGCCATTACGATGCCCTGTGAGAAGCCAAATGACCCTGCCAGGGACAGGTGATACATCCTTGTATAGCCCCATGGGAACACTTTATCACATTATTGTGGGTTCAAGCATTAGAAGCTGAGGGGGAAGTAACTTGGGCCTAGCAGCAGGTGAAACCTCACAGGAAGTGACTCTTAAGGCTGGACAGTCGGGGTGAACGGTCCTGGCCAGCCTCAGAGTATCACAGCTGGGGTCTAAAGGAGCGAGTGGGATAAATACTAAGACTCCTCCTGGACCCCAAAGTAGGGTCCCAGCTCAAGGAGTTGTGCACACCGCTGATGAGGTTAGACCTTGTCTGGGAACAATGGTGAGGCCATGCTGAGGCTACCTCTGTGATTTTGTCCTAACTGGCAGATGGACAAAAAGGGAGGGAGATGAACAAGTGTACTGGGGGGAATGTCTCAGGGAACCAGGGGAGAAGTGGGGAGTGCGATGCTAGCTGGCAGCCTTAGCCACAGTTCATGGTGACCCCTCTCTCCTTCAACCTCCTAGGGCGTTCCTCCCCTGCCACCTGCTTGGGCACTGCCTTGTGTCTTCTAGTGGTGTGTGTAGTCTCCCTGAACAAAACGTGAGCCTCCTTGAGGGCAGGGCTGGGTTCCTCTTCTTTCGCAGCCCTCAACCTTGTGCATTTGGGGCACCCAGTAGATATTTGCTAAGCTGGACAAAAAGAGAACATGCCGGTACCTGGCATTTGACAAGGCGGCCCCAGAGCCTCGCAAACTCCTCTTCCTCGAGCCGCCCATTCGTATTCAGCTGGTGGGGAGTTAAGAGTTAACTGTGCAGCATGCAGGGAGCAGAAGCCCCGTGACAGAGCCAGGAGCAGGTCCATCCATCAACTAGTAACACCATCTTGGGCAGCCCGGGTGGCTCAACGGTTTAGCGCCACCTTCAGCCCAGGGCCTCATCCTGGGGACCTGGGATCGAGTCCCATGTCAGGCTCCCTGCATGGAGCCTGCTTCTCCCTCTGCCTGTGTCTCTGCCTGCCCCTCTCTCTCATGAATACATAAATAAATAAAATCTTAAAAAAAAACTAGTAACACCATCAGCCCGGTGTCACCTGGATGTGGCCCCACCCCAGCCAGCCCCACTGTGTCTGTGGGGACCTGGCTTCGTTTTATTTTACAAAGGAAAATGGATAACCAGAAGGAGAAAACAGCCCTGAGAAAAGGGGGTCAACATCCCTTGCAGCCAGGGGAAGACAAAGCGCAGAAGGCCTGCACCAGGAGAAGTGGGGTCCCTGGCAGGGGAGAGGAGGGAGGAGCACGAGGGCTCACTGTAGCCCCCGAAGCAGCACCAGGGTGCACGTGAGCGGAAGGAAGGCGCAAGAACCAGCCCTGCTCACCCCGGAGGAGTACAGTGGGTTTAATGAGAGCTAATGTGAGGAGAAGAACCCATCCTCAGAGTTGCTGGTGGGGAGCGGTGGGCGGGAGGGGGGGGCACAGACCTGCCTTTGCAGGGGCCTGGCAGACAGCCCCTCGCCCAGGGTTACCTGTCCAGGGCTGTGAGGGGCCACAGGCCACTCTGATTCATCCACAGGGCGTGGGCAGTGTCTCTGGGTGATTCCAAGCCACGGCCAGCGGAGATGGGGCCTGATTTATGATTTCCTCATAACTGGGCCTTGTTAACAGTGGAGGAGCCGGGGATCTGTCTCACCCCGAGGAGGCCGGAGACACCCAGGGAAGAGCCCAGGGCGCAGCTGGGCACCAGTCTCTCCTGGGGAGAAATGGCTCACTATGGGGGGGGCAGTCAGGACAGGAGTCAGGAGCCCTGGGTTCGATCCTTAGCCCCGCCGCTCGTGCCCACGGACTGCTCCAGCCCAGGCCTCTGCACTAACGGGGTACAGCTGCTGTGTAGACCGGGGCGTTTTCTCCAAGTTTCAGAGGTTGTTATCTTTACTGAGTTGGGGCTTGTTGAATAAGGAAAGTGAAGACCCACCCGGTGGTTAAGGGGAGGGGTGGGAGGAAAACATCCCCCATTGGTGCTGCCAGAAGGTAGTACAGAATGATGTTAGGACACAGATTTTGGGGGGCTGAACACTCTTCAAATCCTGGCACAAATTCTGACTGGCTGTGTGATTACTTAACAAACTGCTTAGCCTCTCTGGACTCCCCTCTCTCTCCTGTGAGGGATCATACTTCTTCTATCTAAGGGTTATTTCAAGAACTACAAGGAAAAGTGGATATCCCAGTACTATTCCTGGCATGCCAAGATGCCTGATAGATGGTAACCGTTGACACTGTTGCTGTGATTGTTCAGGAGAGGTGGTGGGTCAGCATAGAATCCACAGGAACCCAGGCTCTTTGGTGAGCCCTTAAGAACCAAAGAGGAGAAAACACGGCGAGTGAAAAGCGTTCCTAACATCCTAATTAGACCCCCAGGGAAGCCCACAGAGCAGATGGGCTCTTAGAGCTGCAGGAGTGTGAGGGAGGGGGTTGTACACAGCAAAGGATACATCCATCAGAGCCACGATGCTCCGGCACTCATCCAAAGAGAATGTGTCCCCTGAAGTTCCTGGGGGTGGAGAACAGGGAAAATGGAAATGTCAGGGGTGGGGGTGACACTAAACTAGCTCAGCAGTGGGGATGAGGTTGGGGCCAGTAGGCCTGTGGGTCTGACCTTACCTTTGAGAAACTCCTGGTTGAGAAGGTTCTGAAGCTGGGTGGCATCTATGTACAGTCCCTGATCCGAACAAGAGAAGAATGCAAGAATCCATGTGTGTCCAGGAGTTGAGGGGCACGCCTGCCTTACTCTGTAGAAGTCCTCAGACTTCTAAGCCCTTTGTTCCCGTTCCACACCCATCCAGCCTGTCATGAAGCCTTTCCCAATTGCTCCAGATCATGGTGATGCTCCCTCCCCTGAAGGCCTATAGTGCTCATCACTCCTGACCTTTGCTACCACGTGTGGGTCACCTTGCATTGACTTCTTCTTTTATTATTGGACTGAAAGCAGAAGTTGCTTCCTCCTCACCATACCCAGCTCTTGGGAGCCTCTCAGGAGGTGTGTTGAATGAATCAACTCAGCCCTGCAGGTATGTTTCCCCATCTGCTTCCAGAGGGGGATGGAGAGAAAATAGGACTATTGTGTGTAAGCGTGAGCATGAGCATGTATGTGTGCTCGCACAGATAGAAGAGAATGAAAGTGTCAGGAATCTAGGCTAAGAGAAGCTGCTCTAGTTGAGCACATCATTTAGCATTAGTCTTCCTAGCCACTGAGGCAAAGAGGAAGACATGGTTTTTCTTTGGATTAAAAACAGGAAGCAATGGAGGCTGAGGGAAGAGAAACTTTTCCTAGCCTAAACTTCTGAAGTTGTTAGCTGCATTCAATTTTCTACTAGGGACATTGAGCAGCTTTATGGGCAATGTCTTCCATGATGATTCCACAGAGGAGCAGTGCCATGCTGTGCGTGGCCACTTCTTATGTGTAGGCTGCTAAAAGCTGAGGAGACGATGGGTCATCAGCACCCTGGGAGAGCTTTGCATGGGGGAAGGAGCTAGAGTGAGGTCCCTCAGCAAGTGGCTTTGTAGAGTGGGACTGGGTCAGGTAGAAGAAGGTGTCTTGTTGGGTTCTTCCGAGAACAGGCACCCCATAGACTGACAGGCATGCTGTCCCCAGGGTTGGCCTCACCACCCAGATGAAAATGAAAGCAGCCCCACAGCCTGTCCTCAGGGGAGAACGTGAAAAATGCTGCCAGTGTTAGAAATTGGCCCTCAGGTCATCCCTCCAACATCTCATTGGTGGGTTATGTCAGGAAAGTCAGCATTGTGTGCCCACCATCAACAGAGTGTTTTCCTCAAAAGAATCATGTCACCTAACTTGCAGAGCAGTTGGTGAGGAACTCTAACTTACGTGGGTCACCAACTAGAATATAAGTAGCTGTGGGACATGGACCGTGTCTCTTTCCTTCTATCCTAGGACAGCTCCTACCTGGACCCTGCATCTAGGAACCACCAAAATGCTTGAGAAGATGAGGATAGGAATGGAGATGAGGGTTGCCTTAAACAAATACCCAAAGAATTGCATATCTGTCTCCACCACCTCAACATAAGATCCCTGAGGATGGAGGCTTTGCATTCCCAATGCTTAGTGTGGTACTTGGCATGTCCTAGGTATTTGGTACGTGTTTGCCAATGGAGTAAATGGTAGACAGATGGACATGACTTGACTCAGAGGCTGAGCATGTCCTTCCTTTCTCCCAGGCAGACCCTGAGTTATAATACCATCACCGCCGTCATGGCTGAGGAAGGTAACTCATGGGAGTGGGAGCCATGTCATCGCGTTCACTTAAGGCTAAACAGATACAAGAGGTCAGGAGAGAAGACTCAGTGAGCCCATTTTGCTTTCATCTTTCCTTTGAGGATAGAACCTCTGAGGATAGTTTACAGATTGTGCAGAATGATGCTACATCAGTCCTGTTCAAGGGTGTGCAGCCAAGGGGCGAGAAGGGGGTGTAGTTCAGCCTATTCTACTCCCGAGCTGTGCATGTTGGCACAAAGCTGTCTGTGTCTTTTAATTCCTACAAAGGCCCCATCTGGGCTACCAGTTACCCTCTATGAAGAGACATTTGGTGGTTGTTTGGAAAAACCCTGATTAGAGGAAATCTGTACCATTTGTCAAATGACAAATTATATTTTTTATTTCAGATGTGCAGGTGCATGAACCATGTCGAGGATTTTGCCATCTGCCCCTGAAGGAAGCCTGGTCTCAGGTATCCTAATTAGGTCCTGCTGATTGCTTCAGGGCAGTAAACTTAGTTTGGACATCTGCTCTGGAGAAGCTAATCTGTCTTAATTCAATGCAGGTTGACTGAGCACCTTCTCTGTGCCAAGGACAGTGATAGATATTGGGGACAAGGAATGCGTATGATGCCATCCCTGCCTTTGGGAGCTCACAGGCTGGGGATAATCAGCTGGACAGACCTTGTCTTGCATCAAGTGAAGTGCCTTCTGAATCAGCCCATGTGTGGACCTGAATCCTGGGCCACTATTGATTCCATATTGAGCAGCTCCTTGAAACACATTCCTTTCACGACAGGCACATTCTTCATTTTTCCTTGTTTTTCCCTCTGGGCCCAGGCTGCCTGAATAATTTCCCTTTAAACTGCCTCCTAGTTACCCCCATTAGCCCTCTGAATGCCTGGCATCCTTCCTGTCCTTGGCCTTTGCCTGGCCCAAGACCAGCATGGGTACACATGGTCATATCTATCTATCACTTTGCATTTCCCAAACCAACGTGACTATCAATGGAAAAAGGCCCATTGTGCAAAGCCCTTGGCAGCTGTTTTTATCCTGGCAAGTCAAGGAGTTCTTTATAACGGTTTATTAAACCATTAAGAAAATCCTCTGTGCACATAGGTGGCTTGGCAGGAAAAACACCATTGGTGCTTTCTGAAGCTGGCTAGCTCCCGGGAGGAATGATGCCAAGGGAGGTTGCAGAGCAGAAGGAAAGCTTTCGGGGGTATTGCTAATTACTTGTTTAAAGATTTAAAATACCCCCCCCTATAATCAGCCCCACCCTTACCAAGCTCTACACTCCATTCCAGATGTCACCCAGCTAGGGTGCTACTGCTCTCCAGGGTTTGGTAGCCAGATCAGTTCTGGAGACATCAAAGGAGAGAGGCTGATAAAATGACCCACCAAGTCACTTTCTTCTCTGTACCCTGATAAGGGTCTGGGAGAGGTTTCCTTGCCTCTAGTCCCTCCGTCACTGGTCCCTAAGTGCTAAGTAAGTACTGTACCTGTTGAGAATATTTGTGGAAGATGCTTTCTTGAGAGTCACTTTCTGGAAGACTTGCCTGGATCAAAAGGAAAATAGTTAATATCAAATTTCTGGGGAAAGAGGCTATCTGGTACAGTGAAGGCACAATAACTGCTCCCCACACCCGGATCTGAGACAGAAGCTTCATCCAGTAATCGGATAAAACTTGTAGGGGAATGGGAACACGAAAGCTTGTGGAAGGAAGATGATTGGCTCAGGCTTGGTCTTTGGCCCTCTGCCCTGAACCTTTGAGCCATCATCAGGCCATTATTGTGTCTCTGTTTTCATTGTTCCGTGCTGAGGTAAGAAGGAGATAGAAATTCTTGGGGATAGGATGCGGCCAATGAAGCTTGCCAACCAAACCTTCAGATACCTACCTTCAGTGGTGTAAGATTGAGATTGCTGTCCAGATTCCTAGAAAACCAGGGAAACAGTGTGACATGGATGAATGGGTATTTAAAGGGAGCTGCCATATGGAGGACACCCTAGGTGGCATTAGACATTTACACTAAGGATCTGAGTTAAGGGCCCTCAGCACAGCACGATGTGAAGTGGGCGGCCATGAGAGTCGGCAGACAGGTAAGCATCATAACCACGTGTCCAGGCTTTTGACTGAACATCATCAAGCTATTTAGCAAATGGTTCCTTTCACAACCACACACATAGGTACAGCGACCCCCATTACCAAGATGGCAGATAAGTTTTGTCTTATGTTCCAGTTCTGGTGGTACAGTGACTATGTGACATGCTGGACTGAGGCATCACCCATGCTCAACTGTAAAGATGGCCATGATTATAGCTTTAGGGCCAATAGGGGAGAAGGTCCCCAACAGGATGTGTGTGTGCTTGGTGATCCCAGTCTTGACCACTGACTTAGCACTGAAGACTCTCCACAACTGGACTTTGTCTTTCAGACCCATATTTCACTGTCTCCCTGATGTACTGACCATACTTCCATCCTGGTCACATTCCAGACAACTGCCACACAGGCCAGGTACCACCTTCCTGTGCATATGACATTGCTTATACCTCAACAGGCCCTGTGCTCACCCACTTCCCTGCTTCTGCCCATGCTTTCTTTCTTCTATCTGCACTAACATTTTCCTTTACACATTAGACTATGTTTTCCATCAAGGCCTAGTTCAATTTTTTTCCAGACCATTGTCTCCAAGACGCCTTCCTAAGTCTGTCTTGCCAGAGTTGGGTCCCTTTCCTCCATCCTCCCATGTGACTCTGCACTTGCACCCAGCAGTGCCCCCAACCTGTTCATGGTTTCCTTATTGGTTCAGACTCTCTCATCACCCTTCATGTTGAGCTTCTTGCAAGCGAGGCCCATGCCATGTCCTCTACTGACACAGTACCTGCTGTATAAGGTGACATGATGTGTCTTTATAAAATCAAGTGGAATAAAACATTTAGAAGCTCAGAGTTTCTGTACCTATCGCCATCTGGCATTTTCAGAAAGATTCGGAGCAAAAACTCAACTTCTTCTCGGTATGCAGAGATGACCACCACATAGGTCCCAGGGTTCAGACTGAAGTACTTTGTGAGGTTGCACTTGGTTTTAAAAACTACACCCTCGATAGCATTTCTGAACTGAGAAAAGAAGGTGGATGGCAACCTCTTCCAGAAGGGCTGGAACTGAAAGAAACATGAGGATGGTCAGAAAGCCCCTTACATGCGTGGGCCAAGCCCCCCTAGAGACCCACCACCCTTCCAGACCCTTCTCCATTCACCAAAACAACCTTACTGACCCTAGAAAGAGAGATAAGTGCTTACCTGGATTTTCAAAATGCCACAGAGTTCAGACTGTTATTTAATATAGACGCTGACACCACAATGAATGGGAAAAAATATGGCACATGGTTTTATCTCATTAAATCCCACAGTATCCTGGGTCTTGGGGGGATTATCTCTCTGCTTATATAAAGACTTCCATGGAAACGAGTGAAATTGTTCCAACTCTGAATTACTTTTGGAACTCCTGAAGCTCCTTCTCTTCTGAACCTTTTATAGCACTCTTTGGACTCTATAGCACAGCAGAGTTGGATGGACCCCATTCTCTCCATCTCTTCTTCCCAGTAGAGCCCTGGAATTCCTTCTCATTGGAGAATAATAGGCTCTGATCATTTTCCTTTTATTTCAATACTTTCTTAGAGATAAAACAATAAATATAATGCAGTTCCCATTACCAGATGTCACATACATATTACATAATAAAAATCCCTTACTAAATAATTTTCTCCAATACAGTCAAGCATGGGGATTCCATTTAGAATGGTTTTGCTTTGTGAAATGATTATTTGTGAGCTCTGCCTTGGGGGAAAACAGGGAGAAAGAGAGAGTTTCTTTTCAGAGAGCAGAAACTGGGCTGGGCTACAAGATGAGATGGGAGATAGGTCACCATCCCAGGTAGGCAGCAAGGGCTGGAAAGAGCCTCCAAAATGATTTTGCTGATGCTAACAGTGGGCCCAGCTGGCTTGTGTAAGCCCTTCTGGCAAAATCTATGAAGAGAACAATTCTCCAGAAAGTCAGCACTGTCCTGTAGCTCTGGGTACATATGTGTGTAAGCACATGCATGTGCACACAGGGAGGCGTTATGTACAGAAGTGTGTGTGCCTCCTGCAATCCAGAATTTCCCTGATTCCCTGCTCTCCTCTCTCCATTGGCCTCTTGAAGCCTTGTCCAGACTCACTATCCTTTAGAGCAGACTTTCTTAGTGGCAGCCAGGAGTGTATGTGGCATGATGGAGGCTCTTGGTCTAGCACAGAGACCCAGCATCAAATTAATATGAGTCTAGTTGCACACAGACCTGACCCTGTGGTTCTCAGGGTGGGGTTTGTGCCCTTTCCAGGGTCAAGTCCTTACTCCTTTCTCCAGCTCTGGGAATTAGAACACTGATTTTTTGCCTTGCACTTGAATCTCCCTCAAAGCCCTTCCAGAAGTTCTACTCCCATGACCAGGGTGCCAGAAAAAAAGATCAGATCCTAAACCCAACTCTGTGGCTGGGCCGCTGTTGTTCATTGTCATCTGCTTTCTGTCTGGGCTTCTGAGTATACCCTGCTTAGAGACCCCCTATCCTGGCCTCTGTCTACCTATTGGGGCACCTCTGGAAGGCCTGGAGGAGCTGCCCAGGACCCAGAAAAATGCTACAGGTGCTAAATTTTGGTTGTGGCTACATCCTGCTCCCTCCCTGCCATCCTTGGTTCTCAGGCACTCGCACCTCCACTGGCAGCCACAGCCCAGCAGAGCCCACATCCACTTAAGGGGTCTGAGTGCCTGTAACTCCATCTGACCTTCTCCATCCTTACTCTTAAGTCACCCTGTACCAATGCCAAGCCAGAATAGCTACTCGGGAGAGGTGGCAATTTGATTTGAGGAGCTAGATATGCTCTGCAGGTGCATTTGCAGAGCGTGCCCCCTGTTTGTGGTGGATTTGGAGACTGACAAAGAATATGAGGCTAAAGTCCCCCTAAGATGCCATTAGCTCTGCTTGTTATCTTAAATAGGAAAGAACCGGCTATAATTAATCTTATCTATTGAAGGTCAAATTCCTGAGGATGGTTTCATGGTTGCAGCCCCTCTTAGATGTCAAACCAAAGAAAAGCTCAGGGTCTTCGATCTTTAGACCAGGATAACAAAAATATGTCCTGTGCTGTTGATCTGCTTGGACATTCTAAGTTTGTACCTGGTACCGGACAGAGCAAGACTAAGTTTTCAGCCACGGAATGGCAAGAGACATGCCAAAGTTGCGGGTGTTGAAAGAGGTGTAACGGTTTACCAATGCACAGCAACAGAGGCATGAGAAGGCAGTGAGCCATACCTGAGGGTCGACCTGTGGGGAAGAAAAAGAAAGGCAGGTTCAGGAATCTAAACCAAAACACACAGGCAAGCAGATGCCAACAGCCCGCCCAGGGCCCTGTGGTCCTTCTTCCTGCGGTCAGCCTGTTCTCTGCACACCCCCAGAGGATGGGACCATCCCTCATTCTCTCTGCAGAGATGTGAAAAGAAAACCTAACCTGTTGTAAGTTGTAGGGAGCTCAAGACAGAAGGACTCAGGAGGAGACTCTCCCTTTGTCAGCTCAGCCAGGTGTGGTTATTCTTCAAAGCAATGATGATAAAATCAAGGAAGAGCAAGATGTCAACAGGGCCAGAGGTAAGACCTAGACCAAATGTCAGCTTCCCAGCATCAGGAGCTCCAATGTGAGGAAACTTTTTTATTCCATCACGCCACTGTGAAACATGGGAGGAATCACAGGATTTATAGGGAATGTATGTGTGCATCTGAATGGGAAAACACTATGTTTAGTCTTTCCATGTGGCAGAAAGAAGCACTGAGGATGCAGCCCCATTTTTAAGCCACTCTGCTGTCTGCAAGGTGCTTCCCTGTAACCCTGAAAGCAGACCCTGGGACCCTGTTTTATGGGTGTGGAAACAATCCCAGCAGTCTAAGAAGCAGAGGAGGAATAAAGCAAGCTGCTTTGCCTCCTTGGTGATGAAGACCCATCATCCAACCCTGTCTTCCACTATTGGTGGGTTTCAGTTCTTTTCTCCTGCTTATCCTATCATCCTGGCCCCCTGCAACCATGCACACAGACCAGTTGATTTGCCCAGGCATCCTTTTCTGGGAACAAAGAGTGAGCTGGAAGGGAGGTGGGAAGTCCTAGCCTCAGGAGAGAAGCCTTGGAGTAAAGATGAAATGGCTTATCCACCCTTGTCTTTTTTCTCTGTCCTGTCTTTTACCCTGCCTTTCACCCATGTTTATTGTGATGCAAGGCAAAGCGGTGCTCCCATAGGAGTTGGGAGTCACAGGATCACACCGGGGCCATAGCACCATATGTAGCAGTCATGCAGGCAGCATGTACCCACAAAGAGCATCAGAGCCCTGTAGACTTCTGAGAGTCTTGTTGCTGGCATGCACATAGCATATTTCTCAGCTGAACTGGGAAAGGAACCCAAATGTCTCTTGAGTTGCCAAAGTCTGGACAGTTCTTTGGTGTTTAACTTAATCAGGATCCTGAAAGATCCACTGGGCCCTCCAGGAAGCCTGAGGAGACCTCTGGTCTCACTGCATTTTTAGCAAAGTGTACAGTTGAGAAATGCATCTCTGGCTGAAAAGTAGACAAGTGGGCTCAGCAGCGTTTAAAAACAGGATTACAATCTTGCCAGGGCTCCTGAACTCTAATGATTTTGGGCAAATTGGTTAACACAAGGCTATTGTGATGCCCAGCTCTGGGGCACCAGACTCATAGATGGCAATGTGAACGGCATCCCCAGTTGTGCAGAGGCAGCCCTCTTTCCCTCTCTGGGCTTCTGTCTCTCATCAGGAGAGGTCAGTAGTCCTCATTAGGAGAGAATAGCAGGTCTGCCCTCTCCTGCTACTCTTTCCTTTTAAGAGAACTAGTCAATCCTGGCTGGGTAGGCCAGATGCCTCAATTCCTCCCCAGCCCTTTTCCTTTGTTCTTGGAGGTGAGTTAGGAGACTCTGAGGATGAGAGTCCTCTTGGAAGGCACCTGAATCACCAGAGATTCTTGGCTAGAAGCAAGGGAAACCAACCAGGGTGGGACGAGCAAAAAGCCATTTATGAGAATTCTAGAGAATGCAGCTGGGAAAGTGGGTGGGAAGCAGTGGGGACAGCTACACAGCTGGATGGCAGCCCAGGATCTGCCTGCACTGCTGCTGCCAGGCCCCAAGATTTGCTGTGAATAATCCTTGTCTTGTCCTCCTTCTTTTAGTGACTTTCTCAAGAGTTCAAACCCAGAGTGACCTAGAGTATGGGGGCGGGGGACGTAGGCATGAGAGGAGCATCTAATTGGTTAAGCCTGGCTCTCACATCTACCCCTCTGCATCCAGGGGCTGGGGAGAGGAAATACTTGGTCTCTTTGGTTGCTGTGCTGAGAAACTAGACCCTGCCTTCCACCAAGTGGAAGAGCGATCAGGTGCCTGGTGGTGAGGAAAATGACAGCTGTCTGCTGCTGCATCTTTAGATGTCCTTTGATGGTTTCAGGCACCTCAGAAGTACCATAGCAAACCCCAACCATTTCTTTTCCATTGATTTTATGCAACCGGGAAGTAGAAATGTACTCAGAACAGAACTCAAAGGGCTCTCCTTCTTCTAGAGCCAGAATCATTGTTTTCCTTCAAGCTATGAGCATCATGAGAAAAGGAAGTGCCTAAGCAACCCTGAGAGACCCAGACCTGGGACAGGAGCTCTGGTATCAAGCTCTTTCCCACTCCCTCCTAGCTGTACCTTGGGCGGCGGGCGGGGGGCACTTTTGCTCTCGACTTTGGCTTCCACATCTATAAAAATGGTTTTTGAGGCAATGAATGTGAACACACTTTGAACTCTGAAGGACAGTATCATGGGGAAGCCTTCTCATTAGAGTGAACTACAGCCAGGACACAGGACTGCACCAGCATGAGCAGAGTACCCAGGAGCCCTGCCTGTCACAGATGAGTTGTGGCTCTGACTGTTGCCTTAGGCTTAGTGAACAGGAATGAAGCTTGTTCCTAGAGATGCTATAATCAGAGCCCCAGCCACAGAGGTGATGGTTATGTTTGGCTGAAGGCTTGGGGAACATCTGATGCCCAATCCCCAGCTCTGCCATTAATTCTGACCTTACCAGTTTACCTTGCTGAGCCTCTGTTCTTTCAACTCCACCATAGGGACAGAGAATCCCAGCATTGGATGGTTGTGGGATCTTAGTTATCCAAGTCCATGCAGAGAGGGCATGGAGTCTATGATTTAAGAACCATTCACTTGATCTCTGGGATGCATTAAATTATATGGTAAAGGAGGTGGAAGCAGAGGTACCAGATTTTCTTTTGTAATACTTTTAAGTATTACTTAAAAATACATATTTCCCGATTACCTCCTCACAGTGGGGTGTGTACAGGCTTGTGGATGGAAGGATGGCCCTCAGGAGCTGCAAAGCTGCTTGGGAGTACCATGGGAAGAGGGAAGGCCAGGTAGAGAGGAACACCTCGCCTTGGATAAGTGGCCAAGCAGATGCTTGTAAGCCAACCACCAGGCTCTGACTGGATTTTGGTCTAAATACAAGAGAAAAACATACCGCCTGGTTTTATAGCCAGGATCAGTCTTCTCCTTAAGCTCCTGCCAATGTTTAACCAATGATTCTCAAACGTTCTTACACATAAGCAGTACCCAGGGAGCTTGTTACAATACGGATTTTCAGACTCTGTCATTGGAAGTTCAGATTCAGAAGGTTTGGGACAGTCCCAGGAATCTGCATTGTTACAACAGCTGGTCTTGGACCAGACTATTTTTTGAATAACACGTGTTTGAGCCTGCAGCATACCAGGAAGGAGGTATGTTCCTCTGTAAGCCTGGTCAAGCCTAATCTCCTCTCAGGCCCAGGTTCTCCTGGAAATTTAGAGCTGAACCAGGTGAACTCTAGAGCCCTTTGGGTTTGATCTCTGAGATAGTTCAGTGAAATCTCCCAGCTGACCACAGCTGCTCTCTCTGCCCAAGGAATACACAAATGTCTGAAAGGGATAGCCCTCAACTGGGCTGCCTTACCTTGAATACCTCGAAGGTCAGTGGAAATTCACCTTTTGCCTTTAAGTTTTGTGGCATGACATTGAAGGACGTGATGACATTGTCGTGTTCCATGCTCTCTGGCACAGAGAAGATGTACTGCATGTCTCTCAGAGGTCCTTCTGCATGAGAAAGAGCTGTCACTGGAGATCAGCATGGCTTCTACGACTCCTAGATCAGGCCATGCTGGTTCAGAAAGTTCTGGTGGGTTGTGCTGGAAACTCTGGATTTAGAGACCTAAGACCCAGGTCCCAGTCCCTACAGTTACAAATTGTGGCATAAGCTTCTTCATTTTGTGAGCCTCTGTCTCTTCCTTTTAAAAACAATGAGGGGAAGTGTATTCCCCACTTGGTGAAAATATTTCCTTAACTATAAATTTGAAGGCTATTTTTATCATAATAAGTGGAATGTCAGAATCCTGTATGTATGAGCTTATGCACTGGTGATAACCATCAGAGTCTTGAAATGGTGTCAATCCCCAAGCACCAATGGAGACAGGGAAAATAGGCAATCCACGGTACTCTACCCTCCAGGTGTGCTCAGCAGAGCCAGAGCAAGACACAGAAGTAAAGGATTAAGTAAGGTAGATGCAAGTACATGGAAGAATGAAGAGAAGTCAAGATGGAGAGGAGTCAAGATACATCAACAGGTTCAGGTCACAGGTTGGGAGGCTCTGAGAGGGGGATGGGGAGACACAGAGGCTCCTCTTTGTGAAGGTTGAACAAGATGATGCATTTAGGTGTACCTAGCAGGGCCAGCCAGTACTTGCTCCCTAGCTCCCTTCCCTCTTTCCCTTGCTAGGAATTGCTAAAAATACCCCCAATGTATCATTTTGCTTCATTCATTGATATGCACTATATCCAGGGAAGAGGACTTTGGCCCCACAAACAGATGAGGTTCTGGAAGGTGAATCAATAAATTTACTGCCCAAGTATGACTTGGCAGTTCCTTAGAATCCACCCATGGCCTCCTGCTGCCTAGGTTCTCTGACCGGCAGAGTGAAGATCCTGGAGGTTTGAAAAGAGGGGTACTATTCTCAACAAGTGGGTGCCAAGGAGAGGAAACGCACATGTCTAGGTGTGAACATACCACACACACTCACACACACACACGCAAAATTATTTGCATAGCTTCTCTAGAGGATGTGTAAACATACTCAGGTTCATGTTTATGGGGAGCTATTTTACTCATCTGTGTCGCAAATAGGGAGCAAGAGGTTTAATGAGACTATGTGACCCTCCCAAGATCACACTCAACAAAATTAGGCTCAGGGAAGCCCAAAGACAGGACCTGAGGTGCCCACCTCTGGGATCTCAGTATGCTGCTGCGAGATACACCAACCAGCATGGGGTAGGAATATTCTCTGTTTGGATGGTGCTTTAGGTGGTGCCAAAGTGGTGGTTTAACCCAAACCCTGACTTTTGTCCACTATTCTTTCCATAGCTCTCCACCATCCTGGGTAATTACTGAAGAATAGTGAGCCTTTCTTCCTCCTGGGAGGCGGGTGGAGATCGGTAGGACAGTAGGAGAGCATGACAGGGCAGGGGAGGCACGCTTGAGATTCTCCTACGCAGTGCGCCAGCAGCTGTTTCCCTTGGAGAAGAACATCTGTCCCTTTAGACTGACAGATTCCTCTCCTTTCAAGTTCAGGCTGATGGTCTAGAACCCAAAGTCACTGAGACTTGGAGCCAGGACAGGGCTAGGGCTGGCAGCTTCCATCTGGCAGAAGAAGTACCAGCGTCATAACTACCTGCGGCGTTTCCTGGAGTTGCACGGTTCTTAAACATCATTTGGGACCATCTTTCATGAGGCATGTTTCTGTGGTTTAGGCTGATTGGACATCGGTTACATATATACAGGCAGAAGAAGTTGTCTTGGAAATCTTGACATGACATCCTGTTATAAACAGATACACGCCATTTTATTGGTTTCGTCCCTAGGGTGGGGGTTCCCATCACTCCACGGTACCTTTGTTTGTCAGTTCCAGTATCCAGGGACTTGCCACTGTCCTACCCAAAGACCAGAGCCTCATCCTGGCTCATTTACTGTCAAGTACACTTCTCTCTTCAGGGGTCAGGAGGACAGAACAGAATAAAATTCTGGGTTCTGCATGTCCCTCTCATGGCCACGAAGGCTGGCTGTCGTCTCTCTCTGCTCTGGGTCCTACATGCTGCTAGGAAAACTGCCATTCCTTCGAACCCTTTGCCAAATTCGTTGTTGAACTCCTTATCAGAGTAAAATGGTTGCAACGTCTAAAATCCCACCTTGTACTGTGCTTAAAGCAGAGCTATCGGAAATATTTTTCCTTTCTAATTTACACTTGTCACTCTGCTTCCTAATTCCTGAGACCCAGCTCCTTTTCATACATGCTAAATTCATTTAAATACGTTACTAAGTAAGCCATACCGCCTCTCAAGAAAATGTCCATATTACCCTTTAGGATGTGAGCACATGGCCAAAAATGCGTTTGTTTTTTTTTTTAAAACATTTAGTCCAACATAGCTGCCAGGCAAGGACACTGATGTCCTACCCAGACCTCTAGAGTCAGGGCTGAGATATTAATAACGAACTGCTCCTTTGGAAGACTGTGGAGCTAGCTCCAGGGGGACGCTGTGGGTCCTAACAAGATGGCATGAGAGATCCAGGCGTGATAATGAGGTCCTGGTTTCTGGGAAACTGTTGATTTCAAAGCTTTGGGGCCAATATTCCCTTTTACCATTAACACTTCCTGGAAGTTCCAATATTTCAGAACTGAAGTATCTTTGACACAAAGAGAAAGCACACAAATAATTTTCCATCTAGAGCTGCTGTGTCTCAGTGGAAAAAAAGAGTCTCCTTCTACATAGGTCTCTGCAAAGCTAATCTCTGATCTCATAAAAGTTTAGGGAAAGGGGTAGGGATTGAGGGTGTGGGTAATAAGGAAAGCTTTAAAATGTAATTTTAAAAGAAAAAATACCAAAACTCGCCATCCTCCTTATCCTTGTATAGCAGTCTTTTATGTTGGCTGCGGATCTTCTGCCATTCCGGAGACCTAAGCATGGGGAGATAGACCACAATGTGAGATCTCACCAAGCACCGCATCTCAGCAAATGTGCCCCAGAGGAGCCCTGTCCTCCATTAGTTCTGGGGGTGCACATGGAGGCTGTCATTCTGCCTAATGATAGAACTCTGTCATTCTCTGCACGCTGGTGGCTGCCAAATAGTCTCCAGCCAGATCCTCGGTCCTGAGCATTAGAGGGATACATGCCACGGGCCATGCTGTGTCTCTACTGGAGCCCGTAGGGACCTGGAAACCAACCTCTCCCACCCTGCTCCCCTGCCTTCTCCCAGTGCCCGAGTGGGAAAGTGAGGGGCCACTCCCTTACACCCCCCGCCATATCCAAGCAGCCGCCAAATAGTGATGACTTATGATTCCACCCCTGAAACCCCGCTCAAAGCCATCCGCTTACTTCCACCTCTCCTGCTGCTCTTCTAGTTCATGGACCCTCATCCCCTTCTTGGACTTCCCACTGGTGTCCCAAAATGCAATCCTGCCCACTTCCTATCCACTCTCCACGCTGCCATCAATATGATCTTTCTAGAACAGAAATCAGATTCTGACATTTCTCGGCTTAAAGTACATCAGAGATTCCCTTTACCTCGCAGGAAGAAGTTCCAGCTTCTGAAACAGAACCCTGGCCTCTGCCTACACCTCTCCAGCTCTCCCTGAGCAGCGACCTGCTTCCCCCACACACCCCACAGTGTTGAATTCAAAACTCCGAACATGAAAGCCTTTGTCCCCTTGGACATACATGTCCCATCCCTGCCCTGGACCATGAGGGTCCCCTCTGCCTGGAATATTCTTCCTCCTTTCAAGTCCTGTACTCCAAGGACATCACTCATCTTTCCTCCCCAAAGCCTGTTGGAAACCTAGCTTGTTCTCCCCATCCTCCCCGTCCCAACTCCACCTCCACTAGTGGTGCCTGCACTCCACCTCCGTAGTCAGTACCCTCCTCAGAACCCACATGGCACCCTGTAGCATTCCTGGTCTCAACACCTAACACCCCGTGTTTCCAGTGCTTGTTTACTTCACCAGACACCGAGTTCCACGAGCTCAGCGAGCCTCTCCCACCACGACATCATCACAGGCGGTCACGCAGTGCCTTGGCACAAGGGCATGCAATAGTTTTCTGCTTCTTTAATACGGTTGTTGAGTTCACTGGGATAATGTATTCCAGAAGCTAGACCTAGGGTCCATGTTGGAGGAGGAGCAGCTGTCCCATGTGCAGCCCACGCCTCACAGTAGAGACATGCTCTCATAAGCACCAGGCCCCATGGGATGGATCTCCCTCTAGGAGCAGCTTGCATCCGGGGGCCGGGGTCAGCTCTGTGCTGGGAGAGCAAGGCGGAGACCACTACTCAGGCTTTGGGCTGTAGGCTGAGCCAGTCAGATGTGTTATTGTAAAATGGCAATTTTATAATTAAGTGATAATTACATTTTCTGCAGTGTGTAAGGGAAAATAAATGTGGTGTAAATCAATATGCTATCGATTCATGCAAGTTTGCCTTTAAGTGTGTGCGTCTGAAATTTCAATTACGGCCAAGAGGAGACCATCCGGCTCTCTCCATCCATCTCCACTCCTTAGAAGTAGGGAGGAAATCGACCACCTGCGTGGAGATGGTGGTTATGTGGCCCTGTCACTTTCTCTCGCAGCCCTGTTTCGAGGGAGGGGGCGTGGAGGGGGAAGTGCTGAACTTAGGCACAGCCAGGTGTGTGGCCCTTCAGAGTTAGTGCTGCTAGGTCCACCTCTCTGTTCTCTGCTCTGCACATCTCCCCCCTGTTGAAGGGCCTTATAAATCCCATGCCCGTAGGGTGTACGCCCAAATTTCCAAGCTGGCATTGGGTGCTCTGGCCCCAGCTCCCAGCACTTCTCTGCCAGGTTCCTCTGTTGGCCCTGGACACACTATATGCGTTCCCTGGCTCAGCACAGTGCTCTCCACCTCCACGCCTACCTGGTGATCTCTTTCTGGGTGAATCATACTTTTTTTCTCCTGCTTGAACTCAAGTCCGACTCTACCTGTGAAGTTTGCCCTGACCCTGCCAGCCCACGGGAAGCTTCTGATCCCTCATCTCTGGCGCCACCTGGGGCCTTCGGGAGTCAGGTGATAGCACAGGAGACAAAGCTGAAGCTCTTCTCCTACCCAAGGCAAATGTGTCATTGACATTTGACCTTCCTTCACTCCAACCCCAACAGCCAACCCTGAGTCAGGGATTCTGTTCACCACATCGCCCCCTGGGCCATACTGGCAGCTCGGGGTAATGACTGAAGAGGAGAACTGGCAAAGGCCAGAGGTTGTTAAGATTTACATTGGAAGATGCAAAGGCTACCCCAGGGACGAAGGAAGAGGCAAGGCAGAAGGAGAAAGGGGAACGGTGAATAAAAACACAACAGTGTCCAGTGGTTCCTGGTGTGCAATTTCATTCCCCTTCTGTGGAGGGGATTCAGCTGTCCTGTTCTCCAGGGGGCAGCTGGTCCCACCAGGTGCCTTCTAGGAATTCATTCAGCTTGCTCCCTCCCTTCCGCCTGCTTCCCCTTCTCTACCTCCCACTCCCATGGGCAGTCACCTTACGTTTGCCGAGTGCCCACTTGAGCAGGCACATGCCAGCTGTTGGGGTTCAAAGAGGATCAGAGTGGCCCCTGCCGCAGCCTGGCCTGTGGCGTCAGGCTGGGTTCTGAGCAGCCCGGAAGTAAGGCAGGGACACTGGCCAACTCTGCATCTGCCTTCCAGGACCCACTTCTCGCTGCATTGATTTTCACTGCTGTTGGATGCTGTTCACCTGTTTGTCTGAATGCTTTGCATTTCCTTTCCAGTCTTACTCTCCTTCCCATTGCCTCCACCTCCCTGCTGGCTGCCAGAGGAGCAGGTAACCTGTTACCTGCTGGCCGTCTAGGGACAGCCATCTCATTCTCAGTCAGCAAGGATGGGGTCCAGGGATCAGTCTTTTTGGCAGCTGGGCAATGCTGTCCCAGCTCCAGGGAACCACTGACCACAGAGCTGCATCCCCACTGGCCAGCTGTGTGGGACCCGGCTAACGGGCATCTGACACTCACCTAGCTCCATTCACTCCTCCTCTGAGCAAGGTGTGAGTCCAGACACCAGTTATACATCAGAGTCCAGATAAATAGGGAGGGTGGACAACCCAGGTGGCCAGATCTTTGCCTCAGCTACCCAACTCCCCCCAAAATGAAGTCTTTTCCTGATGGTATCATCACGATCAGAATCCCATGGGATCCCTTATGGGATGAGGCGCCTTCTCTCCATCTCTCCCTGCCAAGTAGAACTTGGCACCTGTCCTGCTCTTTCCCCAACTCTTAAAAAAAAAAAAACAGCTAATTCTGGGTACGTGGATTCACAGTGCTAGACTGTAACCTTCTGGGGGATAGACATTGGGTCTTGTCATCTGTCCATATCCCACAGTGCCACCTAACACAGTAAACTTACTGCAGAGAGCATGCAATAGGTGTCTAATAGATGCCTGGTGAATGGCATCATGAGAATGGGAGATGGATCGACAGCCACACATAGGTGTGAACTAGACAGACCAGCAGTGGGATCCATAACAGGTGAGACGGAGGTTGCCCTCCCGGGGCTGGGGTGGGAGTGGGGATGGGTGGGTGGCGCTCTCTGCACACCAGGCCTTCACAAAGGCTGGAGAAAGGTTTTCAGAAGCCGTACCTATCACTCCAGCGTCCTATCCATTCAGTGTGGCCCCAAGGGTTCCACAGGCGGATAAGATCTTCCCAGCCCCTCCCGTACTGAATCTGCAAAGAACAGAAAAAGAACCTGTCAGTGCTCTCCAGCAAAAGTCAGCAGAAAGAGAGGATATGAATGCAGCTGCTTTTTACCTCCAAGGACTAATTTAACTTCTGACCTCATTTGGCTGCAGCCAGAAAAAAAAAAGAAAAAAAAAATCAATGTCTCTCTGCTGCTTGCATGGAGTTGGAAAGAGAGAGGAGCAAACGGCCCCTCTTTCTGCTTAGCACCTCGAAAGGTGGGTGCAGCTTCATCATTCTGGATGAGCACCTCCTGGCATGTGTGTGAGCTGAGGAGCAATTGCAGATGAATGGCACGCAGTGTTGCTGTGGGCTGCAGAGGGGAGATCTTGACGGGTCCCTGGCCTCCTGCAAGCCCTGTCTCCCCACCAGCATCTCTATTCCACAGACATAGCTGCTTTCCTGCCCGCAGCTCCCTGGGAGCTGTGCTGGGGTCTTCACAGCGTGATCTTGAGCAAGGTTGTGGAGGACGCTGATCTGAGCAAGAGTGGGACAGCCTGGGCATCCAGACAGCCCAGGTTAGCCCTCCTCCACCTGCACCCCAGAGCTGCCCCGGGCCCCCGTCACCCTGCCTCTGCTGGCAAGCAGGTACCTCGATGGCCTGAACTTTTCTTCCTTCTCCAGGCACCTCATCATCACTAGTTTCCAGATATGGAGGCTGGAAGCCAGGACCATTGATAAGTAACAGCAAAACAAACTCAACCCTTTGAACCTACGTTCCCAGATCCAGGAGCCCTCAGCCTGGTGAGAGGAATTAAAGCATGGTTGAGTTGTAGCTGCGACACTGATGTGTGCTAAGGCCATCTGTGGAGGCCGCAGCCTTGCAGGGTGAAGGAAGGGGCCCGCTTGCTCCATGATTCCAGGCCAGAGGCCGTGGAGAAAGCCCTGAGTGTGGTATCACCATCTGGAAAAGAACCCGGTGTGTGGAGGTGGGGCTCGGAGCCCAGCACATTCCATCCTTCAAACCACCACCCTCACCCTGCCAGCCAATGTTTATACAACCTTTGTCTTACACAGGAGGAAACTGAACACCAGAGAGGTTCAACAACTTTCCCAAGACCACAAAGTAAATGACAGATGAATAATTGTCATTCCAGTCACTGCCAGTCTCTGAAGCCCAGGCTCTTGATTTGGGGGTGGGAGTAGAAAAAGGACGCATCTGCTCCAGGGCCCAGCCCCCTCTCAGGTGTGGCCACAAGCTTGACCTCAAATCCCACCCTTGGGGGCACCTGGCCAAGGCCCCTGTCATCACCAGGAGGACATTACCGTGAAGGAGCAACGCAGTCAGACAATAGCCAAAGAACTTGGCTTGGATAACGTTCTTTTCCATTCACTTCTAGATGGCTGGCACCATAGGGGAAGGTGCTTTAGCTTTTTTAAAAAAGATTTTATTTATTTATTCATGAGAGACACAGAGAGAGGCAGGGACATAGGCAGACGGAGAGGCAGGCTCCCCACGGGGAGCCTAATACAGGAATCGATCCCAGGACCCCGGGTTCACGACCTAAGCCGAAGGCAGATGCTCAATCCCTGAGCCACCCGGGTGCCCTGGTGTTTTGGCTTTTAATGCTACATAGGAGTGGGGGGGCTCCTGGCACAGACCAGGGTTCCCCAGCCCTCTCTGCCCCATCCTCAGGCACTCCAGGTCTAGCATACAGCATATTTATTAACCGTCAGTGCCTGATGGAGCCCACGGAGCAGGGATGTGAGAAATGGTTGCCCGGTGGCCCCAAAAGCTTAATGAGCCACCGTCCGTGCCTAACACAGCCGCGGCTCAGATGAGCACAGGGGGGAGGGAGGGCCAGCGAGTGAAGGAGCTAAAAGCAGGGACTAAATGAGGCATGCAGATAAACACTCACCCCCTTGCCCAGGGGAGTCACCGATTGAGCGAGGTGTATAATAAAAAATGCCAATTTCATTTATCTTCCTGTCTGTGTCCCACCCAGAGGAGGATGAGCGGATTAAAAAACACACCGCATGTACGAGCTGGTTTAATCTTAGCCCTTGTGGTCAGTTGTGACCTCCTCTTTCTAGAGGAGAAATCTGTAGCCAAGTCAAGTTCCTGGGCCTTGGCAGAGAGGCTCAGGGGGTCACGCTCAAGGCCAAGGTCACGACTACCTCTGAAAATGTCCACTTGCTTCACTCTCCTGGCTACTCACTGGACACCCTGGCCCTGGTCAGCTCTCTCAGAAAGGTACCCCCAGGGCAAGAGGTGGTCCAGGTTATCTAGTCTAGGATGCTACTTCCTCAAATGTATTCTCTTAAATGCTGGTCCTGCAGGCTGTTAATAATTAGTCCCAGGAGAGGTGGTTTCATGGCTCTTGGCAGACTGAAACCAAAGGCTGTCCCAATGTATAAAGGGCCTTTTCCAGGAGTGGCAGAGACACCATGCAGGTACCATGGTTCCCTCATCCCATGCCCAGCCCGGAGAGGATTCATCGATCATAGCTCTTTCCCCAAATCTGGAAGCAGTGCCAGTGTCTTGTCAACACAGTCATCCCAGCAGCACTGCCAAAGATCGAGGTTGGCACACGAGAAAACCAATTTGTTATCCTTAGCCTAGACTTTCCATGTCTGGGACGGGGAGTGGTGGGAAGCAGAGTGTACGTGGCCTGTGTGATGATGGTACTGGCTGCCCCCATTGAGAGTTCTGGGATGGGCTTGAGAGAACTCAGGGGAAGAGAGCCTGGGGCTGCTGTGACCAGGAGCTCTCCTGGCCAGGGTTAATCAGGGTGACCTCTTCCTGGCATCTGGGAAATGTATTTTGAGCTCCTCACATCCATTCATTGAGGGAGGCAGCGGTTCGGTGATGTCATGTCGTCACAGGTCAAAGATGGATGCATTCAGTCACTCAGGCAAGCGCACTCATCCATGAATCCCACGAGCATTTATTAGATGCCTACTCTCCTAGGTACTGTGCAGAGGAAGCATTTTGTTCAGACTTCCTTAAGAAGAGCAGGAAGCAGAAGATAGTGACTGTAGTTTGTGGAAAGTTTGCCAAACGCAAAATAATGGAGCAAGGGGCCTGAGGTCACCGGACAGGAGTCAGGCTGATTCAGAGAGAAGGAATGCAAAGGCGAGAAAGCGTGCCGGAAACAGCACCCGACACTCTGCTTTCTATGGCTCCTAAGTACCTTGGAAAATGTGCCCTGGAGCTTGGAACACTGTGTCTCAGGGCCCAGAGGACATTATTAGACCTGAGGAGTTGTAGGAAATGTAAAGAGATGGGGGCATGTTTGTGGGAAATCATCACGAGGCCAGGAAGCACTGTTACCGCACAGCTATGTGGTAAGCACAGAGGGGGACTGAGGGGACATGGTGTCTCGGCCCAGCCATCCCAAGTAGCTGTGTTAACCCTGGCCTTCCCCTCTCAGGCCTCTGCTTCTCACTGAATGGAGGAGGCTGGACTTCATTAGTCTTTTCCGGACCAAATGATACTGCACACAGTAACCATACACACTTTCGTCTACCCCAAGTCCATTGCTGCATCCAGGGGAACCATCGTCCTCCAATAGCTGCCCCCCCTTCTTCCATGGAATAAAGTCTAGCTGTGCAAAATGGTGGCCCAGCTAAACAGGATGCTTCCCAGACTCCCTTGGGCCTTGGTGTGGCACATGATTAAGTTTGGACTAATGAGATCTGAGAGGAAATGGTGTGTGTGTTTTCTGATGGGTGCCTCCTATATGAATGTATGAAGTGTTCCCTGGCTCCTTTTTCTTCCCCTGGCTGGGAGATGAGGGACTTGGAGCAGCTGCCCTGGGCTCCCAGGTAGAAGCCCCATGTTGCAGATGGCAGAGTCACCTATCGACTCTGGATTTACCTGCTTACCTGAGAGAGAAATGAACTTTATCTTAGTTGAGCCCCTGTATTTTGGAGTGCCTTTGCCGTAGCAGTTTAGTTGGTACATAATAAACAAAACCCTTGGGACGCATGGGTGGCTCAGTGGTTTAGTGCCTGCCTTCTGCCCAGGGTGTGATCCTGGAGTCCTGGGATCGAGTCCCACATCAGGCTCCCTGCATGGAGCCTGCTTCTTCCTCTGCCTATGTCTCTGCCTCTCTCTCTGTGTCTCTCATGAATAAATAAATACAATCTTTTTAAAAAAATCATTTTAAAAAAACAAAAACACTTTCAGGGCTTGCCCCAGTCAATGAGGTAGTTCATTCTTCTTTCTTTTTGGGCCAATCCCACAGCCTGGCTAGACACTCAGCTTGTCTGGGATCCATTCAAGGATAGCACGATCTCTGGTAGGTCCCTGGGGGATAAAGATGCTGGGCACCAGAATTTCTGGATGAATAGAGGGAATGAGGCTGTGTTGGGTTTGCAGAAGGCATTTGATTCTGACTCCTGTTTAGAGAAGCAAGGAAACCAGGGGACAACCCATGGGCACCTTACCCGCTCAGCCCCAGTCACTGTGTAGGCGTGCTGAGTCACCAGTCCATTCTCCATTCTCCTAGCCTCACCTGTCGGCTTCAGAGGAGGAAAGCAGACCAAGCATTACACATTTCCAGGTTCTCCAGAGAAAGAGAAAAGCACAATTCAATCACAGCAGCTAAGCTGTGGCTGCATGCAAGGCGTCCCACTGACTCATGCCAGAATGGCATATGTTCTTGGAATTCTGTTCTAGAGGGCAGAGTTGGAAGGCTGTCAGGTGGTTGAGGCCCCGGGCACTTCATACCTCAGGAGACTTACTCCATTACTGACACAACCCCACTGAGTCCTGAAGCCAACCCAGACTGCTTGCTCTTCTGACCCCTTGTCATCAATGACACATGGCACAAAAAGAGTCTGCTGGACACCCTGTAAGAGTCGGGAACACTCACCCCCCCCATGCTGTGAGCAATTGGGGTTTAAAATGCATATTAATTTTCAGGTGGTGTTTCAGATTAGCGGTGTGTGACTCAAAACCCACATGTTTACAGAGTACAGGAAAGATCCTCATGGATAGGGAGCTGGCTATCTCAGAATAGACTCCAAAATAATTTGGAGAGTCATCCAAGCTTCTCAAGATGGGACACATTGACTGTGGCATGTTGCCTTTAGAGCCAGTGAGACTCAAACGGCTGCCCAGTCCCTCTGGACCCCACTGCACCAAGCCACATGGCAGTGATAGGCAAAGGCATATGAACCCAGCTCAGCCACTTACTGGCTGTGTGATGGGGAGCATTTCCCTTAGCCTCTCTGAGCCCATTTCCTATTCTGGAAGTGAATTCTGCAACCCCTATCTCAGAAGGAGGGCTGCTGTGAGGATGACATGAGGCACAGCACCAGCGCTCTGTGGCCCCTTACTAGCCAAACGGGCCTTTGGCTTAGATACTCTTGGGTGAGGAAAGGTTTGACCCAGCATGAAGAGTCTACACTCACTCACATCAGCCAGGGTGCCACAGGCCATCAGGGAGCCTGTCTTGACCGCTGTCTTCACCATCATCACCAGGTCAGAAGGAATGGAGTGCAGGTTGATGCTGGTGACCACCCCTCCTGTGAGGTCCACCAGGGCATCAGGAAGGAAACCGTAGTGCAGGTTGACATAGGACCCATGAAACCTGGCAGGGGGAAAGACATATCAACCCCTGAGGCGCTTCTGGTGAGATGCTCCAGGAGGGGAGTTTGTACGGCTGGCATCTGCGTATGGCCCAGGGAAGGGCTCTCCGATATACCCCTGAACTATGGCCACCCGCCTTCTATTGGCCTGGGTAAAGGTTCCAGTGAAGTGCCACTGTCCTTCCCCTGGTCTCCTGGGGCTGGGCCGCCCCACAAGCAGCAGTGTCATGCAGAGGTTAGGAGTGCTGGAGCCCCAGGCCAGGGATCGAATCCCAACCTCTCCGCATATTTAGCTGCTTGACCTTGGACAAGTTACTTAACCTGGCAGGCGGCAAACTCTTAATAAACATTGGGCATTATGATGATGAATATCCACTTTTCCTATTCAGTTTAGCAACAGTGATACATGTTGTCTGAGGGGTACGGAGCGTTCAAAGATGGACAAGACCCTGCCCCTGCCCTCCAAGAGCTCACTCAGCCAACAGCCCTGGTGCCTGCTGTGGCCACAAGCAGCCTCTGTTCTCATGCAGTGCAAAGCATGCTCCAGAATTCCCACTCCCAGGACCAACTCACTCATCCCAGGATCATCAGGGAGGCTAGCTGACTTTACTGAAGGTAACAGAAGTGAGGACAAGTCTTATCCAACATGTTCTCAAAGCAAAACCACATGGAACCTAAAGCTCCTCTCCCCACTCTTGTGTGGGTTTTCTGCCCCTGCTTGGGTTTATTGTCCCATTTCACCTTTTCCCCATCCTCCCCAAATCTGAGCAGCCCCAGTCATTCACTAGGGAGGCCGGAAGATTCCAGATTCAAGAGCCAAACCACTCCAGTTCAACTCCTGGTTTCCCCTCTCATGAGTTCTCATTCGGGGCAGGAGGCTGAGATTTTCTAAGGCTCCCTTTGGTCAGCTGGAGAAGGGGCATGGGACAGCCCTGGCCTCAAAGGGCCCTTGTGACGCTTGTGCCAGTTCTGGCATGAGTGGCATGTAGAAAGCATTGGCTTGCAGAGGGCGTGCTCGCTACTGTCACTATCAAGACACAGCAAGGCCATGCTGCCCTGCTTCTACCCCTGCACTTGTCACTCCCTCCCAATAGCACTCTGCCACCGGGACACTCTCCTTAGAATGACTCATCTAGTTTCTTAGTAGCACTTGGGGGTCGAGATATTTGCTGTGAGAGGGTGTGGATCATCTTGGAACAGGGAAGAAGAGCCTGAGGGTCCAGGGAGGGCTCTGGGAGGGGCACACCTCTGAGCTGAGTTTATCCAGGTAAGGACAGTGGGACAGGCCTTCCAGGGAGGAAGAACTGCTAGGGTCAGAAGAGCACGGTGGAATGGGGCCTCTGTCCCTCATGGGAAGTCGAGGCCACACCCCTCACAGGCCATTGGCAGTTGGGAAGCTTTGACCATGGCTTGCTTTCTGGTAATGCAAATTAGGGTGGGGGTCTGGGCCTAAGTTCCTCCCTACTGCTCCTCTAGGGGGCCTGCAACTCGCCCTTCTGGGTCTTTCACCTGGGAACAGTGAGGTAGACTGGGTAGTCTCGTGGGGTCCTCCTGATACCCCTTTTCTCACCATATTCCTACCTCTGTCACTCTCTCCTCCTGGGCCCCACCCAGAAGTCACATAAATTCACTTCAGCAAATACAGCCCCTCAAAGCAGGATAACGTCCCAGGCACAAATGCCATGGGTGGCTTAAAAGTCCTTTATAAAGGAAGGCTAAGCAAACGCGGGCCATTCTACAGAAACTGCCATGTGATAGATTGATCTGTTTGTTATAAAACTCATTCTAAATCTTACCTTTCTGTCTCTCCCTCTCCCTGACCTGGGGTTATGGCTGGTACTAGACTCTTATCTCTGGGCTATTTACTTAGTCAAAAGCAAAGCTTGCCTTGGATAATGGTCATGCCCATTTGGCTTTGAATGCCTGACTTTTGATTTCCCATATGTATTCTGGCTCCAGTCCTAGATTAGGTAGGGCTTTGCTGAGGGTCCTGGATGTTCACAAGACTGGGGTTCTGGAACTCATCCTAGAGCTCACCAGTATGACTTCTCACACTGCCACAGTCCCTTCTTGGTGATGCACTCAGGGGCCCTCCCTGGCTGTAGACAGGGCTGCACCAGAACCCTTCCAGAAAAGCAGCCAGGCCCTGTCCTGGCACTTCAGACCCACTGCCTCAGTGTCTAGGGGCCTCGTCTGATGTCTTGCACTCACGCCCCCCTCATTTGCCACAGAGACACCCAGTGCATGGGGAAGGCCGGCAGCACCCCCCACCACACACAATGCCCACAAAGCCTGTCTCAGCAGCAGCTGGGTATTTTGACAAGGAGCTATCTCTCTGCTTCAAACGCGAGCTCACAAATCCTGCTGATGCTCTAGGAACATGGCAACTATTCTTAGCCCCCTTTGCTGACAGGAAACAGAAAAGGAAGGAGAGATAGCGAGAGTGATGCTCACCACACCTGTCACTACACCTTGTCACCTGGGCCCAGGAATTCAGAGCGTGCCTTATTCTCATTTCTGTGCTTTAGCCTCATTTGTGGGAAATGTCTATCTGCCCAGCAAAGCTAAGAAAGAGGAAAGAATTCAGACATCTATATCAAAATCAAAAAGAATGCTAAAATGCTGGGATTCTTAACTATCCAGATTCCATACAGGATGATAGGCAGCCTAGCAGATTTTGTCCTGAGATCTCCTATTTTATGACCTCTGGGGAAAAAAAAACCTGCCAGTGTAGATCTGACTGACTCAACCAATTCATTTCCACACTCCCCAGTTGCAAAGACAGTTGAAAGTTTGGAGGGCATAGGCTCTCTGGCCTACATTCTTGCTGGGGAAGGAGGATCGTCTCCTTTTGGATGGATGGATTCTCCATGTTTGTGCTGTGGTCGTTATGTGCCAGACACTGAGTTCCAAAGAGGCAAAAAGACAAATCTTTTTCCTACAGAACCGACAAGTACCAAGGGATGATGGAAAAGCCCAAGACAAGGGGAACAGTCCTCATCCCTGCTTGGCCTTGACCACCACGTGACCTTGGACTACTCATTTCAGCTCTCGGCATATTAGCTTCTTCATCTTTCAAAGGAAGACATAGAGCTCGAGGCTGACAGAGGTCCCTTCCAGCCCTCATAGCTCTAATTCTATTGCATTCACTCCACCTTCTGTGATTCCTTCTTTGGATGGAGGGGAAAGCTTTTAAACAGCTTACTCGTTTGAAACATTTTAGTCTCCACTAGATTTCTGTAGGCAGTGGGATGTGGATTCTGGGCCCAGTCTCCCATTTCCTTTTAAAGCTGAATGATTGCTTTAGGTCGACTCTTAACAAAATGGGGTCAAAGTCATCATTTCATTCCACAAGGTTTCTAATTCTCCAAGTGAACTGGCACGCTCCCCCTTTCACAGAAGGAAAAAAAAAAAAAAAAAACCGAAGCCCTGAAGTTGTGAGAGCTGAATCCATACTGGAAAGAAATGGCAGTGTTTGGGTAAGTAGCTTAGAAGCAAATTAACCTCCCCGAACATATGGATCAGTTCAACAACCTTGGCTGTTATCTGGGGTTCCTTCTCAAATGCTAATGAACAGCTCTTCTTGACACTGGAAATGAGCAACAGCTTTAGTTTTCTACAAATAATCTCAACAGAAAGAGTGCAAAAAAGAAAAAAGAAATAAAAAAGAGCTCTTGAGAAAACATGGCTGTTTAGAATGTGACCTCTGCAAGGACAGGGACTGGGGTGGTCTGTGTGGTTGTTAGCAACCTCAAGGCCCAGAACTGGACTTCAGTCTTACTAAATGATGTCCCTGGGTCAAATCACTGAAAACCCCAGTAGATTCAAGCTAGTCACTACTGTCACATGACTATTTAGAGCCTTGGTTTCCCAATATGTAAAATGCTGTTAGTGATGATCTTCGGGGAATCTAATTTGGTGACATTCCACTAATTTATTTTCTCCTGAAAGGGATGGTCCTTTTGTCTCTTAGCATTGATTTCTAGCTCTGATGTGTCCCTCACCTATGTAGGTCTCTATGGGAGTGACCTCTTCCACATAACACATACTCTTGCTAACACCCACTTAAGCCAATCTCAGAGTCTTTATCCCAGTGCCAAGCACAATGGTGGGCCTATGGTTAAATGCTCGATACACATCTTCTGAATTGATGGAACTCAAAGTGTTTAAGTAAAACATGAATTGGAGTGTTTATTAAGTTCTTGAGCTTGTTAACACTAGAAGGTAGTCCTTGAAGCATGGTGCTTAGACCATATAATAATCAGAACTCTTGCCCTGCTCCCCAACACAGATGCCATCTTTAATAGCCATATAGAACCCCCAACTGCTCGACCTCACTTTGAGTTGTCCTGCCCCTAGATCTTCGCTTGAATCATTCCCATGGTTGGGAATAACTATCCAACATATCACCTTTCTTCTTGCTGAAATTCTAGCCATCCTTCAAGGCCTCACTGAATGCTATGTCCTCTATACAGCCTCACCCTGACTCTCTGTGAGTCAGAAAATCAAGAATGTTTTATCTCTATGTCCTCTCATCAGACTTTGTCCACTGGTCATAATATTATATTTTATTTGGGCTCTTCTCCTAGCCCTTGCAATAATAGTATTATTAGTATATACCTCTATTCAGTCCTGCCCTGCCCACAGCTTGTCATATGCTTCTGGGTTCCTCCTGTGCCCCCAACATAGCTTTGCATACAGTGATTGTTTATGGAGGATGCCCAGCCGATGCTGCCAGGGCATCGCTTACACGCAGAGCTGCCAAAAATCCTGGGACTGGCTGCTGTAGAGCATCCATCAGGGCAAGCAGCTGGGCAGGCAAGGCCAGCATTGAGGCCCCGGGCAGAGGGGTAGGCCACTCTTACTTGGCATAAGCTTTCTCCAGCAGGCAGGGCCAAAACTCTTGGTTGTTCTTGCGAGGGTGCACAAAGAGATACTCCTTATTCAGGACAGGTAGGCGATCATCAACCACCACTTCCACCCACTGGCCGCACTGCCAGAACTAGAAGAGAGGTGAATATATGCCTTAGTAGAGGTAGGGCAGAAGGCGAGCTTCTGGATCCCCAACCCATGCCAAATGATAACCACTGGTGTGACATGACCTTCCCAATGAAACAACAAACTATTCAGAACAAATCCCAGCCCAGGTCAGGGGTCAGTTGACAGGGGCCTTCCATGTCAACTGCACTGGACAGATGAGTCACAGATCAAGTGAGTCAAAGAAAATACAGGCTGGCATGAAAGAGACTTGGGTTTTTGTTGAAATTTGCTACTAACTCTGACCTCACTTTGGCAAGTCCTCTAAGAGATTCAGACACACATAAGGCCTTCCGGGTATGGCTTGTGCACAAAATGGCAATAGAAGGAACAGATGCTGAATGATAAGGAGAAGGGTAGATACAGAGTGTGCTATAATGGGGGGGACAGGAGAGACTATTGGGAGCCAAATGTTTGAGGGAGGAGGCAGGATTTAAGCAGGTGGCATGGAAGTAGGAAAGCCATCCCAGATGGCAGGGAGAGTGGGCAAAGGCCTAGAGTCCAAATGATGAGGATTGCTCAGGAGGATTGGGCAGTGACAGCCTCACTCTGGCCTCCTCAGCTCATGTGAAGCTGGTTCTGCCATCAGAGCAGCAGAAATGAAGCTGGTTGGCACCACTACCGCTAAGAGCACAAATGAACCAGATGTTCCTCTCCAAAACAGACTGCTTTAATCTTCGGTGTTCAACTCTTAATGGTTCACCCAGGGACATCACCAAATGAGGAAAATTCATAACAAAGCCAGCCTTTTGGAGTTTCTTTGCTGGTCTCCCCTATGCTGGATAAGGGATAAGCAGCCGGGCTTCCAGCTTCAGGCCTAAACCTTAATGAAGGCAAGTTTCTGACAGGTGGGCTTGGAGTAAAGCTGGGTGGATGTGATCTATCATCTATTTGGCAGTGATGGGAAGCCATCCACATGGCCTTTTCCACAGCTGGATATCCCAGATGTTGGGTTGTTGCATCCAGCTGAGGACACACTTTCTAAGTAGAGATGGAGACCAAGACAGAGATGTCAGTGGAGACAAAGCAAAGAAGATATTTTCATGGTCATTAATGAGCTCTGTGTACTTCAGCTGGTTCTGGCACAGCTGTGGATTTGAGTCCTTATTGCAATAAAATGTGTAGACAGGTGAGGTTAAGAGCCAACAGGGGTATACTAGGAGGGAGGTCTAGTTTTCTTTGGGAAGGTTTGATGCCCCAAGGAGAACTAAAAGTGGGGTACTGGAAAAATAGCCCGATCTGGATTTGGGATTTAGCTAGATAGCAAAGTGTGGTAGATAGTGGCCAGTCACTGGTACTGTGCTTGAGTCCTGGTTTTGCCTTTGGTTACCTGAACAACAGATATTGGGTAAGACATTGAATTCTCTGTGTCTCAGGTTCCTCATCTGTCAAATGGTGATAAAAAATTCCTCAGAGGGCTGTGATTAGGGTCAAATGAGATTGTGAAAGTGAGATCCATTTTGAAAGTAGAAACTATTTTTCAATAGCTTCTTTGTTCAGAACCTAGGATAATGCCTGGTGCAGAGGAGACTATCAGGAATGAGAGTCCTGACTTGAATGAGCTCCTGTGGTTGGTTTCCACTTAGAAGTTACCTTCACCCCAATATTTCCACATGAGTAATGCTGACCAAACTCGCTATCCTTATACAAAGGGAACACCAGATAAGATCATTGTTTCCAGAATAAGATCAAGAATGAGGCCACCAATCTGCATTTCCTGATTTACCCCACTTGGTGAGGAGGGCTGGCATCAAATAATGAGTAGACCCTCCAAAAAGCATGCTGGTACCATTTTGTCAGCACTCAAGTGTCTGAGGGAAGCCAGAAGTGTTTTGGTAAAGCAGCCACATTGCCTGGGCACTAGGTTCTTTCCAGAGAACAGTGCCCAAACTTAGAGTGATAAAAACAGATGTACAGAAGTCAACACCTCAGCTCTTTCTGGAGAACTGTGGAACTTTCTCGCCATCCAGAAGGCCAGACAGTGTCCTGCCTGGGCCTCAATTTCTCCTAACCACATGTTACAGTCTGAGTTGAGCTCATACAGTAAACCTTGCATCTTCTAGCTCACTCCTTGGTCAGAGCCTTGGACCACCAGCATTAACAACCCCTGGAAACTTGTTAGAAGATATAGTATGCAAATAGTTAGACTTCAGGAAGAGAGAAAAAAAAAATAAAGGACACTCAGAAATAATGAAGGGAAATTTAGCTGAGCAGAAAAGGGAGACAGGTCTTCAGAATGAAAGGGCTCACTGAATTCCAGACAAGATTAATTTCAAAAAGGCACACATCTGGACGTATTTCAGAAAAATTTCTGAACACCAAGGAGAGAGAGTACCTCTCATAAACTTGCAGTTTGAAAGAACATGTTGCAAACAAAGCCAAGAGCATAGATTAGCACTGGATTTTTCTTCTGCTATATTGGAAGCTATGAGACAAAGGAATAATGTTTACTATTTACTTGAGGAAAGGGAATGTGATCCAAGAATCCCAAACCCAACTGATACATTGTTCTTAAGTAAGAACAAATGAAAAACACTCATGTGATGGGGGGGGGGAGGAGGGATTATTCAAGGAACTACATACCTAATGAGGATGGAATTAGAACAAAAATCTTAAGGGGAAATGAAGGGTAAAAGAAACAATGGTGGGCAGTGAGTTTTTTTGTTTGTTTGTTTTGTTTTTTTTTTTTTTTTTTTTTTTTTAGTGAGTTTCAAATATGCTTTGTACAAGAAACACAGTGAAAATGAAACTGATAAGGAAAGCATGAATAAAGATGTAACAGGAAAATGTAAATGGCAGGAAGCTGAAGTAGCAATACAAACGTCAGATAAAGCCCAACACATTAAATAAAACAAAGAGGGATGCTGTGTGAACTTAATTCCAACAAACAGATAGCAAGAACATAAACCTTTGGGTACCCACAGAATATAAAAGGAAAAGTTTAAAGCTGGAACATCTGAAAACATAAGGGGAACCCTCCAAGGTATAACTTTGGGGAAGAACTTCAATTCACCTCTTTTAGAATTTGATAAATCAAGCAGATAAAAAATAAGCCAAGATTAAAAAGTTAATTGCAGATACAACAATCTATAAATCAGAAAGCTGGATTTCTTATGTAAAACTTTTGCCCATTGGATATTCTCATATGTCCATGAAGCATTTGCAAAAACTATTGTAGACTTGGTCATAAATAAAACTTTAATGATTCCTGAAAATGTAGAGATTTTATTAATATATTCTCTACAATCAAAACTTAAAATATATTATCTTAAAACTAATGCAAGACATTTTATCAAAACCTATAGGTATAAATAAGATTTCAGAGGAATATTTATAGCAAAGTGAACGGTTTCAGAAAACAAAAAACAATAAAATTAACAGAGAAACAGGAATTAATAAAAATAAATTTAAATTATATAGAAAATAAAACCCCAAAGAAAAATAGAAGAATGAAAATCAAAAGTTGATTTGTTCAAAAGATAATAAATAGATTGGTTTGGCTAAGAAAACCTGGCTAAAAACGAAAAGGAAAAACAAGAACATAGCACAAAGATTGATAAAGTGGATTTAACTATTGATTAAAAGAAATTAAATGAATTTTCAGAGAATCAAATAAACAACTCTTTGGGCAATAAATTTGAAACCATAGAAGAGAGAGTTGGTTTTCCTGGCAAAACATAAATTTCAAGAATTAACTCCAGAAGAAATAAGAGACACAAGCATTTCGATAATTATTGGACTTACTAGAAGAGTTAAAGAAATCATGTTGAAAAAGGAAGTAGTTCCAGATGACTTAACTATTGTTTATTTTACTTTCAAAGAACAGATAAGCAATGATTAACAACCATTGTTCAAATTATTTCAGATCCAGATATGTAAAACTCAACAGGTTCATTTTAAAAAGCCAGCATAATTCCAACATGGCAGAAATAACTAGAATTCTATATATAATATCAATGCAAAAATCCTAATCAAATTTTTATCAAATTGAATCCCACAGTGCATCAAAAAAAAAAATGGCACAGAATACATCACTAAAATCAGGAAAAGGCAGGACTTTGCTCTTGTCACTCTTATTCAAGATTGTGACCTTCTAACTAATGCAACAAAGAGCATAGTAAGTACTAGAAATATTAAAAGTAGAGACAAAATTAATTATCTTTATTTGCAGAGAATATTTGTTAACTAAAAAACGCAGACTCTACTCAAGGAAAAAAAATAGAACTAATCAAGGAATTTGGTAAGGTGTCTAGATATAATTTAATATATAATAAAGGTGGCTTTCGTCTTGTCAGCAACATCTAGTTAGAAATGAGGGGGAGGGACACCTGGGTGGCTCAGCGGTTGAGTGTCTGCCTTCGGCTCAGGGCATGATCCTGGGATCTGGGATCAAGTATCACACTGACCTCCTTGCAGGGAACCTGCTTCTCCCTCTACGTGTATATCTGCCTCTCTCTCTGTCTCTCATGAATAAATAAAATCTTAAAAAAAAATTAAAGAAATGAGGAAAATCTCATTCATATTAGCTACAAAATTGTAAAATATTTGAGAATACATTTAACGAGAAGGGTGTCACACCAATGTGGAAACATAACTATAACATTTTATTGAAGTGCATAAAAACATTTTATTGAAGTTCTGAATAGAAAGATATACCATGTTTCTGGAAAGGAATAATTAAAATAATAAAAGTGTGATGTTTCCAAATTAATACATAAATTTAATCCTGCTTCACTCTGTATCACAGTGGCTTTTCCTTTTAATTAGACACAATGATTTTAATATTCTCATGGAAAAATAAATGCAAGAATTACCAAGATATTTTTGAGGAAATAATGAATAATGAAGGAAAACTTACTCTACCAGATGTTGCAACTGACTCTACAGTTACTGTAATTAAAATAGCAAGATATGGCACAGGAATCAGCACAGACAAAAGCTCAATGATGTATAGGGTTCTTGATTAATGACTTCTTTTTTTTGCAAATTGTTTCTGCCATTTCTTTTTATTTACATGAAAACATTTTAACTCTCATGTTTTCTATGCAGTGTCCAGTATTGAGCTCAAATCCTTTTATAGAGATATGCAAAGTAACTAACACATAGGTGACTCTTCCATCTTAGGCTAGCAGACCATGAGGCTATTGAAGACACTGGCCCCCCGGCTCTCTCATAGGATCCATCCACGTGAGGAGCATCCTACAGTGCACATACCCGGAAACGGAAAATCCCCGCATACTGGTGTGAAAAGCTTTGGTTCATCAGGATCTTCTGTAGTTGCTGTGGGTTCTGTGTCAAGGAGCCCAGTGCTGCCAGGAACCAGCAATCTCCTGTGAGGGGATGTAAGCCATGAGAGGTCTACTGGTCACTTCTGGAAGCCCCACTCCACCCACATGTTGTCACCAGAATCCATATGCCTTCTTCTGAATAACACGTTTTTTTTTGTTGTTGTTGTTGTTTTGTTTTTTTCTGTCTGAGAGGTGAGAACTGGGGAAGGATTCACTAGGGCCAGTTCCAAGCAATACAGAGGAGCTGGTTGTGATAGGATTAGTGGTGTGGGGGGTGTCAGGGGCAGTAGTGATAAGGTTGATGGTGATAGGGGCTTTGGGGGTTGGGTTGGCTGTGATGAAGGTGAAGGAGGCTCAGGAGATGGCAATGGCGATGGTGAAGGAAGTCAAGAGAGCCCCAGCCAGGCTTCAGCAGGGCTGGTAGGCCAACCTGCCTCTGATTCTCATGTTGCCAGAGGTGCCCAGAGCTGAAGTTACAGGAAATTTTGTTGCCAGTGTGAATAGTCTGTCCACAGCAGCACCAGGGATGCCGACCTTGCCTCCTCAGAAGCTGGGGTAGAACTCTGGGGTCTGGGTGGGCACCACTGTCTGACCCTCCCTACCTGAAGGCTGACTTCAGGCAGCCTGCCTATTCCAGGGCCAGGAGGAAAGATGTTGAGTCCTTACCGGCCTCTCCTTGTTGGATGTCAAATCTGCTTGCACCTTCCAGGATGAAGTGAGGCTCTGATTTACCCTCTAATATATCCTTAGGCAAGAGGGAGAAAAGCCATGAGCATCTTTCATTCCTATGTCCCCATGTGGTACCCAAGACATTACTCACTTTGTCTTTGAGGGGTAGAGGTTAATTCTTAAATAGGTACTTAAAATCTGAGTTAGCAAAGTTGCCCTCATTTTTCAGGTTTGATTGCTATCAGGAAGGCGGATGCCAAAGGGGTGTATATGTAACTGACAAGACAGGCAATAAATACGTAAGCAAATGCATAAAGAGATAAACATAAATAAGGACTTGGGATCCTTACATCTAATAGCCATCCCAGTCCCAACAAGTAGTGTTTCAGTAACAGGCTATAGACAACCAAAAGAAGAGAGTCATTTATTAGAGGACACTTTGATAAGCATAATAAAGCTTTCCTTGTGAAATGCCCTCTCTCAAAAGTCAGTATAAGGAGATCCCTGGGTGGCTCAGCGGTTAAGTGCTTGCCTTCGGCCCAGGCGTGATCCTGGAGACCCGAGATCGAGTCCCACATTGGGCTCCCTCTGGGGAGCATGCTCCTCCCTCTGCCTGTGTCTCTGCCTCTCTCTCTCTCTGTCTCTCATGAATAAATTAAAAAAAAATCTTTTAAAAAAAGTCAGTATAGGTATTCTGGGCTCCAGTTTCAAGTCCAGCCACAGGCTGTACAGGATGCAAGATGTGTTACTCAGACCTTCACCCACTCCCTGGCTAACTCACAGACTGATTCTGGAAGACCCTTTGTCTTGGGTGCTACCTCAGTCCTGCCTCAACTCCAACACATAGAGTTCCTGTCCGTCATAGAAAGGGGTTCACTAGAATTCTGCAGGGCTACAATGTCTGGGGAGAGTGTGGGGAACTCTCAGCAGATACAAGGATTGTGAGAGCTCCTGAGGGGGCTCACCTCCTGGGTCAAGGGTCCCCAGGTACTCCCCAGCTTTCCCCTACTGCAAGTCCATAGTATTGTCCTCAGCACCCTCTCTGCTTGGCTCTTCCTGCATTTCCACTGCATAAATTTGCATTTGCATACTTTGGTAATTGTTCCTGTATCCTTTCTTTTCCCAATGACAAATAAGTCCCCAGAGAACAGGACCACAAAGTGGAAATAGATTTATTTGCTCAACAGCCTGTGAATATACAGAGTCCTGTGCCTTGAGGGACCTTCATAAACTGCCTCTTTCCTGGTGGAGACGCCAAGAGGCAAACAAAGGTGTGCATGTCTGCAAACACCTCAGCCCAGCTTGCTCTGGAGGGGTAGTCGCCTCACTAAGCCTGCTCCCACTGCCTTCTCTACAAATAGCTGGCCTCTCAGATGGGCCAGGAGAGGTGCACATAGGCCCAGACCCTCCCCGGGGTGGGGGGGAGGTAGGGGGGAGGCGCCAAGCTGGCCCACCAGGTACCCATATCTGGGATCCAAGCCCAGTCCTCCCAATACCCATGTATGGGCAGACACAGAGACCTCCCCAAACACAAGTGAGCAGAACAGAACTCTGCAGGACCACTCTCCCCATTCAAAATAATCTGGGGACACTTCAACTAGCTGTCCCTAGCCCTTTCTACTGCAAAAAGGAAGTGAAGGTCTCACTGGGTTTGTTATCAGTGAGCTGATGCTTAAATTCTCCACTGGAGGGAAATACAGAGTAAAGACCAGTGGCCTTGGGACTGGGAACAAAGACAGCTCTGCTCAGCTTCCCTGACCCACCTGCGGGTCCCCAGCTCTCCTCTGCTGTTTGTTCCTGGTTTCCCTGAAGTGACTGGCAGGGGGGGAGTGGGTGTGCTGAGAGGCATCCACACAGACCTGGTGTGGCATCCTGCTGTGCATTCTCCCCACATGACTTTCCTGGGCCTCAGTTTCCTCATGTGCAAAATGGAGATGCCAGTGATAAAGCGTTCTAGGTGCTGGTTGCCTTGCTGGGGTCCAGGGGCTTTATTTGCCCATGGTCTCCCACTAGCCTTGCAAAGCAGGAGTCTTTCCATTTTACAAATGAGGAAGGATGTGAATACTTAGCAGAGCATCAGACGACGTACATGGTCAATAAATATTGATTCCCTTCTTCTGTAATATTTGCAAAATTAAAAAGGCCACACTCAGACAAACCCAGAGCTTCAAATGCATTCATTATTAAACATGATAGAATAAAAACATGAATTAAACAGTCAACTCATAGATGTTAGAAAGACAAAAAGGGCTGCAAATATAGACAGGAAAAAAATGATAAAAGAGGACAATTAGTGAATTCTAAAATAGAAAAACAGCAAGATCAATAAAGCAAATAACTCATTCCATTTGGGGGAGAATGTTTATATAGACCCAACCTTTGGCAAATATGGGAAAGAAGCCCAACTAAAATTAGAAATATAAACGAGGTTTTATAGAGGATCATAGGGGGAGAGAGGGAAAAATAAAACAAGACGAAATTAGAGAGACAACATAAGAGACTCTTAATCATGGGGAAAAAACTGAGTTGTTGGAAGGGAGGGGGGTTGGAGTCACTGGGTGATGGGCATTAAGGAGGGCATGTGATGGAATGAGCACTGGTATTATATAAGACTGATGAATCACTGAACTTTACCTCTGAAACTAATAATAGATTATATGTTAATTGAATTTAAATTTTAAAAATATGGAAAAACAAAAAATGTGGTTTTAGCAATATAAAAACATGATGTAAAATTCTATAGTAATTAGTAGTAATAGTAATTAAAAATAGTGATGATTTTCTGACTAAAATTAACATGGCCCAAAATGAGTCATTAGTAAACAAACTGTAAAAAAAAAAAAAATCAATAACCTTGCCATCGTATTTTCAAATGATCAAAGAATATCTCCCTAACAGCTTTGTAAAGGCTTCTAAGGACACATGATTTCCCATGGAGTTCTCTCAAATTTTGCAGAGAATGGACAATTCCTGTGTCATTTACAGCTTCAGATAAAGGGAGGAAGGGAGGCCTTGCTACCATTTATTTTAAGAAGCTAGCATAGCCTGGGACAGTGAAAGCACAATATGCATACACATACACACACTCACAAGATGGATTTCACTTACGGAAATACACCAAAATAAAAATCCAGCAAATGAAACAAGAAATTGTTATGTCTAACCCACTATAATCAAGCAAGGTTTGCCCTAGAAATGAAGGATGCCAGGGTGGTTGCATATCAGGATATGTAATATTATAAGATAGTATTTACATGAGCCAAAGGAGAAATGATTTATATCCTTCTAATAAATGCCATGAAGGCACCTAATAAATGTACAACTTTCTCTGATTTACCAAAATGATAAAAATCAAAATTAAAAATGTAGCTAATTAGGAACAGAAAGATATTTTAATGCTATAAAAATTAAATGGCAATTATTGCAAGTCAATATTCATTATCAAGTTTATGGAAAAACACTGGAATCCTCTGCATCAATGTTGGGCACAAGACCTGCATCTGTGTCTCATGTCCTCTGAGCTGCTGTTCTTTCCCCAGCCTGGGCTTCAGGGGGATGCCAAACGATCTAAAAAGAGCAGGGGTAGGGGCGCCCGGGTGGAAGTCCGCTGAGTGTCTGACTTTGGCTCAGGTCGTAATCTTAGGATCCTGGGATCAGGCCCTGTACAGGGCTCCCTGCTCGGCAGGGCGTCTGCTTCTCCCTCTGCCCCTCCCCCTGCTGACGCACGAGTGCATGTGCTCTCTCCCTCTCTCTCAAATGAATAAATCTCTCTCTCTCTCTCCCTCTCTTTTTTTTTTTTTTGTAAAGAGCAGAAGTAGGAAGAGATGGAAATTATACCCACAAGCATTTTAGTCTGCTGGGCTGACTTGTTGAGAGGATAGGTAAAGATGAATGGGTAAAGATGTGATATATATATATATACATACACACACATATATAGGTATATATATACACACATATGTATATATATGTATATGAATATATACATTTATATAAATTCATATATATATATGAATATTACTCATCCGTCAAAAAGAATGAAATCTTACCATCTGCAACAATATGGCTGGAGTTAGTATTATGCCAAGCAAAATAAGTCAGAAAAAGAAAATACCATGATTTTGCTCATATGTGGAATTTAAGAAAAATAATCATAGTGGAAAAAAGAGAGAGAGGCAAACCAAGAAACAGACGCTTAACCATAGAGAACAAACCTATGGTCACCAGAGGAGGGGTGGGTGGGGTTGGGTTAAACAGGTGATGGGGATGAAGCAGTCCACGTGCTGTGAGGAGCACCACAGGGTGTTGTCTGGAAGTGTTGAGTCACTAATTATACACCTGAAATTAATATTACACTGTGTTAACTAGCTGGGAATTTAAAATCAACCTTTTAAAAAATAAAGAGCTAGCAATGCTCTGCAGGTGTCACCAGGTGAGACGAGCACACCAAAGCAGTGAAGTATATAAGAGTGGCAAGGAACAGTCTCCACCCTGAGTGTGACTCAGAATCACATGGGACCTTTGCAGACAAGCAGACTGTGGGGCCGCCTCCCACAACCTGCACGGAGTAGGTTAGCTGGAGTTAGCATTCAGGATTTACAGGGCAACACTGATGATTCTAAGACCCTGCCAGGGCAGCGGGGGGCAGGTTCAGGGAAGCTGAGCAATTGGTTCCCGACTCCACAGGGATGGGCTGTGAAGCAGGCAACATGGCCCCATAGTGCCTAGCTCTTCCCCGAGGACCACACCGGCGGACAGGGGCCTCTCAGTGTCTGGGTTTCCTGATTCTGTGAGATGGGCCCTTCGAGGGCTCTGAAACATCACGTATATAGACAGCAGTTGTGATGGTTAATTTTATGACTTGACTGGATCATGGGGTCCCCAGATACTCAGCTAAACATTATTTCTAAATGTGTCTGTGTTTCTAGATGAGATTAGCATTTATTTGAATCAGAATTAGTAAAGCAGATTGCCATCCCCAGTGTGCATGGGCAACACCCAATCCATTGAGGACCTGAATAAAACAAAAGGTAGAGGAAGGGAGAATCTGTCCCTTCTCTGCCTGACTGCAAGCTG